TGGGCAGACGCAGCAACCGATTTGCTCCCTTTCATTCCCACCCACATGTCAATAAAAACACAAGCATCAACTGCACGCAGGGCTGAACCCAGTAAATTATTAAAGGTGCGTTTTCCCCACCAGGGCTGGATTTCCTGCGGCTGATCAATTAATTCCAGTGGAAAAGCAACCACTGAATTTATTCCTAGTTCGATCGATTAATCTACTCCCTTTGCGGTGCTGCCTGTCTTGATTGCGGCTCGGTCAATAGCACTCTCGTCTACGGACCAAAAGGCCGTGGCTTCCGCGTGGAGGATTTGTGTTTGCTGAGGTTCCAGCTCAGCGCTGCGGGGAAAATGGGGGTTAATGTACCGCATTGACAGGACGGGCTATCCCCTTGGATGAGACGTTAAACGAGGTCTGTCTCTCTGTTCAGGTGGACCTTAAAGACCCTGTGGAGGCTATCTGTCTAATAAATAATCCTCGCATTTGTTATAGCGCCTTATCGCGTCTTCGAGACGCCTCAAAGCGCTTCACAGAGTATACCGCAAAGTGGATCGACCGCGTATTTTGTGAGCGAAACAGGCGGCAGCCAATTGACAGCGGCCCCACAAACAGTCTCGGATTGAGCGACCGCATTTTTTTTTGTATAAAAGGATCGTTGCCCCCCAGAGAGCGATCCATCCGTCCCTCGACCCACGAACTGGATTCCCTCATCGCGAGGCAAGCAGAGGGGTGTGTGGGGTGAGGGTAAACTCAATCGTTCGCCTCCTGGGCTATTTGCAGGAGCGTTGCGTCTATTACACCGCTGAACACTTGCCAAATTCCTACCGAAGGGCAATGTGCTTCTCCTACAGCTCCACAGTGCCGCTGGCTGGGCCTTTCGCGACACTGCAGCCGTTTCGCACCGCAAACATGACTCTGACCGCCGTCGGCAAAGTCTCGAGATATTGGCGCGTGGAGAGTTCCAGGAGCCCCCGCAGAGACAGCGCCCCAAGGGCACTGTCACTGCACCAAACCCACGGGACGGTACCAGGCTCTTCGCCAGCACAGGGCTTCTTCCTACTCACTCAGCTCCCGATAATTCTGCCGCGCCCTTAGGGTAAACTGGTTCTCGAATTCAAGATCCTCATCCTCACCTACAAGGCCATTCACGGCCTCGCTCCCTCCTACCTCTCTGACCTACTATCCCCCTACCTACCTGCCCGTACCCTCCGTTCCTCTGGCTCCGGTCTGCTCCACATCTCCCGCCCCAACCGCCCTACCATCGGTGGCCTTCAGCCTCTCAGCCCCGAGGCTCTGGTACTCCATCCCCAGTGCCTTCGCCGCTTCCTCCCTTTCCTCCTTCAAGGCCGGTCTCAAGATCTTTCTCTTTGACCTTCAGCCTTCAGCTCCCCTCTCGACTCTCTACCCCCTCCTCGCTCCCTCCCTTCCCTCCCCTCACCTGACCATTTCCCCACTGCTCGGTTCCTGACCCAACTGTACAGCGCCTTGGGACGTCCTCCTGACGTGAAAGGCGCTCAATAAATGGAATCTTGTTGTTGTTGTTGTCCTCAGCAGACAAGCAGGAGAAAGCTCACCTATATATGCCACGTAGGTGGCATATATATAATAATACCGTAGTAATAATCCTTGCATTTGATACAGCGCCTTGTCGAGTCTTCGGGACGTCGCAAAGCGCTTCACAGGATACACCGTGAAGCGAATTGACTGCATATTTTGGGGGCGAAACGTGGCAGCCAATTGCGCACAGCAGCGTCCCCACACACAGTCGTTGATTTGAGTGACCAATTTATTTTTTCAGTTTATTTTTTTAAAGGGATTGTTACCCCTGGAAAGGGCTCCGCCAATCGACTGACAACCGGGCTGTCAGTAAGGAAATATATATGTTCACCCCATTCCGGGAATCGAAACCCAGGTCCTCTCACTTGCGAAGGCTCTAACCAAGGCCCTGCAGGACTTCACCGTCTCGTTTGGGCGCTCTTAAGGTTGGCGCATCACTCTAATGAACTAACAGTATTCACAGCGGCTGCGAGTGAAATTACTTCCGTTTAGTCAGCGTGTCAGTGAGCAAGTTGGAATCTGAGAGACAAAACAATAATTATTCACAGACGTGGCCAACCGAAAAGCACTGATTAATGAATTCCGTGTTGGAACATGCTGGAGGGTGGGGGGGGGGGGGGAAAGAAAAACAACTTACGTACAGTAGTCTGAAGGAAAGATGTAGAATAATATTCCTTTGCCTTATCAAAGCTACATGTTATCTCGGTGTCTTTCTGTCAGGGTCCTGGCCGACTATCGCTCCAGATAAATTGGTCACGGTTCAAAACCAGAGGACACAGCCTGCGATTGAAGGCGGGTAAAATTGAGAAGGAATCTACGCCAACACTATTGCGGGGAGAGAATAGTGAACCCGTGGAAGAGGCTCCCGAGGGAGACGGTTCAAGCAGGAAATGTTGATTCCTTCAAACAGATCCAACAGTTTTCTTTCAAGAAATAACATGAGGGGGATAGAGTACGGAGGGAGTTCGGGAAGGCGAACTAGATGGACCTCGGTCTGTTTTTTCGTCCAGCATTTCTTATGTTCTTATGTTCTTGCAGGACTTTGCTGTGCGTTACATGTTCACCTGTAAAAGTGAGGCGCCGGTCTGCCCCAGCTGGTCATGCTTTGAGATCACAGTACAGGCTGACACTCTGGTAGACTTTCTCAGTTAGAAAAGTTAAGCAAGTATAGAGTCCTGTAGTTCAATGGTTAAGAGCGCTCGCTTCACAAGCAAGACGAACTGGGTTCGATTCCCGGGCAGGGCAAACATTGGCCGAGTTTCCTTACTCCACACACACACACACACACACACACACGCCTCTGTTTGCCCGTTAGTCGATTGGCGGATCGCTTTTCCGGGTGAGGAGTGGAGAGCAGGAGAGAAACAAAGTAGAGTCATGCAGTTAATAATAATAATAATCCCTTTTTGAGTCGGTCTCTCTCACAAGCCGTTTTCTTTCTTTCTCACGCTTGCCCTTTCTCTCTCTGTCTCTCTCCCTTCATTTTCACGTTTGCTCTCCTTCGTCGTAGGCTCTTTCGAGAAGAGAGCGAAGATGAGGACAAGAGAGACAGGAAGAAAATGAGAGAGAGAGAGAGAGAGAGAGAGAGAGAGAAAAAAGAAGGGTGATGGAGGGCAAAAGAGAGATGGAAAGAGCGATGGAGGAGTGGGGGGCAGTGGGGGGATTGCGGGTGGGAGAGTGGCCGAAGGCAATGTCAAAGAGGAAGGTCTTTAGACGGGACTTGAAGGAGGCACGAGAGGGGGTGAGGTGGAGGGATTGCGGGATAGAGTTCCAGGGCGTGGGGGGGCAGAGATGCTGAATGCCCGACCACCAACGGTGGGGCGGAAAGTGTGGGGGGGACCTGAAGCGGCCAATATCCACCGAGCGGAGGGAGCAGACGGGCTGATATGGGGTTCGGAGGTCGGAGAGGTGGGAGGGGCGGCGGGAGGGGGGAGCAAGACCCTGGAGAGTTTTGAAGGTAAGATCGAGGGTTTTGTACTCGATTCTCCCGCGACCAGAACAACCCGAAAGGCAGGAGCTTGAGGTGTCGAACCTCGAAAAGAGAAACGCAACGACCCGGAAATGAGAGTTGTGAGTCAAATCACATCAGATTTATTTCTTTGTGCATCATCCACTGCGTACAATACTCGGGGAAGGTTAATCTCACAGCTCGGTAAAAACACCGTACAGACCAGAAAACAAAGAGAGAGAGAGAGAGAGAGAGAGAGACAGACAGAGACAGTGGTTTGAGGTTCTTAGTGTCCTCTCTCTCTCGTAAAAATAAAAGTTTCACATCCGGCGACAGTGGAAGACACTTGAAATAATTTACCAACAGAAAGCACAAACATGTTTCATTTAAGCCAACTGATCCAGTAATCGGGGTTTTACTTTACGGTTTGCAGTTTTGTAGGGTTTTTTTCTTAATTTTTTTTTAAATTCTTCTTTTAAATAACATAACGAAGACTAGGTTTTCAAGACTTTTTAAAAAATAATAATAATAATAATAACACTTCAAAATGGTGGGAGGGAGAAACTATATTCTATATACCGACGGTAACAACAACTCACACACGGTAACAGGTTGCGTGTAATAATCACCAGCTCTTAATAAAAAAAAAGCACTAATATCTCACACACAATAACAATACACATCACTGGGTTTTACAATAATTAAAATACTGCTGTTTAACGTTACGTTTTCTTGGGGGAGACAGCGACTAACCCACAGCAAACAGTATTTATTCGCTTTTATTTTCCCTTAAATACAAAGATGATCAACATCTTAAGTTCAGTTACTTTTCGCTCAAAGCCGGGCTCCCACTCATTTTGTCACGAGAGACGGGGAGGGAGGGGGGAGGGAGGGAGGAAGGGAGGGAGGGAGAGAGGGAGGGCAAAATAGAAACAGAAAGAGAAATGGACAGAGAGAGAGAGTGAGCGAGGCGAAGGAGAAAACGAAAATGAGAGAAAGTAAAAGAGAGGAAGGGAGGAGTGCAATGATGACAAAACAGAGAGAGAGAGAATGAAGGAAGGAAAACAGGGAAGGAAGGGAAAAGTGAAGAGAGAGAGAGAGAGAGAGAGAGAGAAAGAGAGCGACTCAAAGAGTTGGGAACCACATGGTACTACTGGGTGGCAGGGGATGGGGAGCAAAGGAGGGAGAGAGGAAAAGATTGAGAACTAAAATCCAGTCAGAGTTTGTATCCTGCCCCACTATTTCCCGCCTTTCACGTCCCGAGGCGCTGGACAGTCAGGGATTTGGACCCGAGCTGGGAGTTGGGATCAGGAGGAGCTGGAGCGCGGTTGGGGGGGGGTAGGGGGGGTGTCTGAAAGCGCGGTCGAAGAGGAGGGGGATCTTGAGACTTGAAGCAAGACTCAAATGAAAAAAACACACTCACACACACACACAAAGCTTTTTGCAAGTAAAAAATAAAATCGGTTCTAAACCCTTAAACCTATCCCACCTGCCCCCACCCACCCACCCTTTCAGACCACGTAATACCTTATAATAATCTAGTCGTTTATCCTGAAATTGCCACAATAGGATTTTCATGCAGACAATGCGAAGAAAGAGTAAAATTGCAGAGAAGATCACATTTGTTTCGTTACATGTGGGTTTTTTTTTTGTTTTAAAAAGGAGCCCGGTTGTACTTTCGCAGAGGGGCACACACACGTGTAACCGGGCTTAAACCTCTCGCTGAACGATCCGAAAGGCGGGCGTGTCAGCTTTTGTGTCTTAAACTCAATATGTCCCTATGTCAGTATACGTGGGACTGGCCGGGCCTCAGATGTACAGTGTTGGCAAGATTCTACATTGGGGCAGGGGGCGGGGAGGGGAGGGGTTGTATGTTGGGGAGATTTTCACCCCATAGGTTTCAGTTCCTCCAAATCTCCCTTCTCTCTCTTCCCTCCACCCCCCCCCGCCCACGCGCGCACGCACACCACCACCCGGTCGATCGCTTGCCGGATTACTGCACTCGTTCCGTGAAGTTCTCTGGGAAAACTCCCCGAAGAGATTTGAGGTCTTTGTCCTGGTTCCAGTCGACCTGCCGGATTCCCATCAGCCAGCCGTCATCCTGACCGGGGAGAGATAGGGAGAGAAACAACAACAAGTTACATTTACTCAGCGTCTGACTTTCACGTCGGGAGGACGTCCCAAGGCGCTGGACGGTCAGGGATTTGGACCCGAGCTGGGGAGCTGGGATCAGGAGGGGCTGGAGGGCGGGGAGGGTAGGGGTAGGAGGGTGACCAAAGGCGCGGTCGATGAGGAGGGTCTTGAGACGGGCCTTGAAGGAGGCGAGGGAGAGGGCGAGGCGAAGAAAGAAGGGGCGGTGGAGGAGAGAAAAGGGGATACACCTGAGCATAGGATCGGAAGCAATCCCTGAATACAATACAAGTGTTTCTGGCGCGAAACAGACCCTAACAGAGCTCGGAAGGTTGAAGGGACAAATGGCATTTACAGCCTTAGCTGTTAATGGTTAAAATTACTCAGTGCTTCTCTCAGATTCTCTCTCATCCAGGAAATAGGACAGAAAGGAGTCAGAATGTGGATCTGGCCCTAGGGGGAGACAAAGCTCGTGTGTTGCACGCACTGATGTTCAGGGTATGAATTCTCCACAGCCTGAACGCGATAATAATCCTCGCATTTGATACGGAGCCAAATCATCCGTTTGAGACGTCTCAAAGCGCTTCGCAAGATACACTGTAAAGGTTGCCTCAGGTTTCGCCCCACCCACCCCGGGAATCTCTTGTGTGGCGAGCGCTCTAACCACGACGCGGTATTACTCCACAGTAACAACGGGCTGTAATAGCCTTAAACCCAACCGCTAAGATTAAGGCAACAAGCCAGAACATTCACCCCAGCCTCGTGCACTGCAGCCCTGATCCCAATAACAGGGAACAAATAAGCAAAAGCTCCTCACCTGCTCGTCTGGGTTTTCGTACGAAACTACGTAAACCAAGTCGCCCATTTTGAGGTTCAGCTCATCGGTGTCTGTGGAATTATAGTCGTGCAGAGCTCGGACCTGGGGAGACCAGGGAGGAAGGAAGGAACGATCAGGGAAGTCTGGACTGGTTACAGCCCTTTTTTTCCCCCTCGGAGACGGGATAATAATGCAGTAAACCTGGCACAAGTCTGATCTTCACAAACAGTATAATCGCCCAAGTCCTACCCCTGGCCAAGTCCCCTTCAAGAGTTTATAGTCTCTGCAAGTTTGACATATCTCATACTTTGCATGAGGCCAAGCCAGGGGTGGGGATGGGGGAGCACGGTCGAAGAGGAAAGTCTTCAGGTGCGACCTGAAGATGGGGAAGGATGGGTTGAGGCGGAGAGATTCAGGGAGTTGTTCCAGAGTTTGGGGGCGAGTGGAGCGGAGGGCACGAGGGACAAGCAGGAGTCCCGCCAGAGCCAGTCGAGCGGAGGCAGCGGGTAGTGGGTTGGGGAGTAAGCAGGTCGGAGAGGTAGGGAGGGAGGTGCCAGGTGAGAGGTTCAAACTCCAGCCTCACCTTGAACTGAAACCCAGGAGGGAAGTCACTGGGCTCAGAAGGAACGGTGTCGTACACAGCTCCGTTGGCAGCGCCCTGAAGCGTATCGCTCACCACGGCCGGCAAAGACTCCTGCGACTTGGGAGCCTGAAACACGGAAGAGTACAAAAGGTAAGCAGAGAGTCGCAATGAGTCAAAACAGCATCAAAGATCATATTAATAGTATTTGATACAGCGCCTTATCACATCTTCGAGACGTCTCAAAGCGCTTCACAGAATATACTGTTAAGTGAATTGACTGTATATTTTGTGGGCGAAACTCGGCAGCCAATTGCGCACAGATGCGTCCCCACAAACAGCCGTGGATTGAGTGACCAAATTGTTGTTCTTTTTTATTTTTGGAAGGATTCTTACCCACGCAAAGCGATCCGCTAATCGACTAACAACTGGGTTCCTACTTAGGGCTGGTAAACAGAGGGGTGCAGAGTAAGGACACGTGCCTTAGGTTCCGTCCCGCCCGAGAATTGAACCTGGGTCTACTCGCTTGCGAGGCTAGTGCTCTAACCAATACGTTACAGGAATCTAAAGGCACGAAGGTCCAAATTTCAAGGGGTTGTGTTTAGGGCAAATCTCTTGAAAGAAAAGTCAAGCCCTTTGAGTAGAGGGGTGGGGGGGCGGGGGGAAAGAGTGTGATCATGGCAAAAGAGTCCACATTGAAGTCCATGTAGTCCTTGGATGCCTCAGTGAAGAAAGCTGATGTTTATTTTATTACATCTGATATAATCAGGTTCTACTGGAAGCTGACTCACGCCACGGAGAGGGGGCGGAGGTGCGGAGGGAGGGGTGGTAACAATAAAACAAAGAAATTCATCAGCAACTACAAAACCCAGGGTTTCAAAACGCTTGACTAAAGGGTTTAAAGGGGTCCGATCTTTTGCACTCAGCCGCTGAACAATACTCCACTTTACGTTAAAAAAAATTTAAATAGAGATTTTGAGGTGCCTACAGTTCCTCTGGCTCCGTCTCCAACTGCACCTTCCTTCTCTACCGCTTCGCTGCTCACCGGTCCTTCTGCCGCTGGCTGAAGACAGAAAGAGAGAGAGAGAAAGTTGACTTGAGAAAGTTCACTGAAGCCAATTGCTGGCCAGTCCTGGGAACACCCTGAAACCAATGTTAATCCCTTACTGAACAGGCAGACTGTTTCGTGCGTCAGTGCCTGCTGCACCTCACACACACACTGACACACACAGACACACACACGCACAGACACAAAAAATGCTAGACGAAAAAAGACCAAGATCTAGTTCGCCTTCCACCTTCCTGGTGGTCGCATGCACGTAGGTCCTGTATCACCCACGTCGACCAAGGTCAGGGAGAGGAAGAGAGAAAGAGAGGGAGCGAGAATAATAACAATAATCATCCTTGTATTTGATACGGCGCCTTATCAGGTCTTCGAGACGTCTCAAAGCGCTTCACAGCATGTACCTTAAATTGAATGGACTGTTGTTTATTTTGTGGGCGAAACGCAGCAGCAAATTGCGCTCAGCAGCATCCCCACAGTCGTGGATTGAGTGACCAAATTTATTATTATTATTATATTCTTTAAAAATAGAGAGAGAGATATAGGGAGAGAAATCCATTGTTCAAACCACAAGGGACACGAAAAGTCTTAGCTGCTTCTCTCCGAACTTGCAATGAATGGAATAAAAACTTCACACTCGCACGCAAAACATCTTCTGAAAGGGGAGACTTGCTTCCAAATACTAACGTCTGGGAAACCAACGACGAATTCTATAAGATAAGGTTTCCTACCGTGCACATGAGGGCATCTATAGCATCACCACTACTCTGCACTATAGACTAAGCAACAGTGCAAGGAACCCGTTGGAAGACTTGGTACAATCCGCTACCGCTGCGCTACATACAAGGGTGGTTTTATTTTTATTCAACAAAGAAAAGCCAAAAGAATATTTTGCAATCCTCCCCTCCTCCAAGATGTCCTCTAGGATTCAACACAATGATGGAGGCGGAGGGTTAGATAGCACACAGGACCTGGCATTCAGAGCTCAATGCATTTAACAGCAGCAACTTAAGAATTGTACACACATTATTATACAGTAAAACTCGCACAAGTCAGATCTGTATAAATAGTATCATCACCTAAGTCGTATATCTGCCCAAGTCCCGTTGAATTTCCTATTATTTAATCCTAATAATACTTGCATTTGATACAGCGCCTCACCACGTCTTCGAGACGTCTGAAAGCATTTCACAGAAGGTACTGTAAAGTGAGCTGAATGTATTTTGTTGACGAAATACAAGTTTCACATAAATCATACTTTGCATAAGTCATATTGAATGTATGGTCCCAACTGATACACGACTTAGGTGAGGTTTTCTGTATAGAACAGAAGCACGGCACAGATATTAGCCTATTAGCTAATACACAGTCCTTGGCACTTACTACGACAGGATCACACTCAGCCTCCGCGGGCTGGCTGAATTGTACAGACCAGTCTGGCGTAAAGCCCATCTCGCAAGAACTATCTCCCAAATTGGTGTTAAGGTTTTGATCCAAAGAGGTGGAGCCCTTTTTCAGTGAAGAAACGAGAGGGAGATGGGGTGGCCATGAGAGTAGGGAAGAAAGAAAGAGGAAGACTGTAGAGACATGAAATGGTCCAGAGATTTACAGAGATGCTGAAGGATGGGGTGGAGGGAGGAGATGAGGCACATTGCAACACCGCAGCTATGGGGGGGTGTGGGGTAGGGAAATCGCACATAGAATCTTACAGCGCAAAAGGAGGCCCTTCGGCCCTATACCGGCTCTTCGAAACAGCTTCCAACTAGTCCCACTCCCCCGTTCTTACCCCCCACAGTTCTGCAAATCTTCCCCTTTCAAATACCTATCCAATTCCCTTTGGAAAGCTACCATTGAATCTGCTTCCACCACCCTTTCAGGCAGTGCGTTCCAGACCGTAAGACCGTAACTGGCTGGGGATGACCCAAACATTTACTGGCCTCAACGCGCCAGTTGGCAGAAACAGTTTTAACCCAAAGCAGCTACAGTGTGGAACTCAAAATAAGGGGAGATAGACAGCTTTTGATCAAGACTATGATTTACACCTTAGGAGTAAGAGCACAATGGCCCAAACTGTCCAGCCAGGTGGTTGCGTCAGCTCATGAGTACAATGTACCTTCAAAAAAGAACTATACCCTGGCAAACAGAGACAAGACAGGATACAGACAATTTACGTGATCGATCGATAGTATTGAGAATGCGGTAATTAATGATCCATGTATCTTACCTCCCACATGTCCCAAGGTAAGGACTGAGCATGTTAAAGAACAAAACAGGCAAGAAAATCAGTTAGTGACACGTCTCGGCAAACACAAAGGTTAGATTTTTAAAAAAATTATTCTGCATTCATCATTGCGAGGATGAAACACACGGGTTAAAAACGCAGGCGAGGTGGGTGTGTACACAAGGAGTGCGACCGGATAGCCAGCACCATTTGGTTGCCACGGGATAGAATCAATGTGTGACCGAATTAGACGAGGGTTTCAATGTTGCAGAGACTTAGCGGAAGTGGTTTGCGGATAGAAAGTAAAGTCCTAACGGAACATAAAATATCAAAACCAACATCTTGTAAGCGGAAACATTTTCACAAACACCCACTTCTCCATATCGGTCGCTCACACTTCTGAAGATAACTGAAGCTCTGAGACATCTTAACCCAATAAGGCACTTACTTGCACCTTATTATCAATTAATGAATAATATTATTACTATTAGTGATCTGCGCAGGCAACAGTGTGCAGCTGTAACACTTTCAATAAAAATCTTTTACTAAAGAACTTTAAAATCACAAATGGACGAAAAGTTATTTCCAATTCTTCCGCCCCCCCCACCCATCCATCCCCAACTCAATAGCACGTTGGTGAACGCAACTTGACTCAGCAGTTGTATAATAATGAACAGCTCAAGGTTTCAATGCAAGACTCGGGCCAGGAGCCTTGTTGTATCTGTACAGCAAGCCCCTCCCTCGAGATGAAGTTGAACTCTATTCTATTCTCTATTCCCCCCTCTCCCCCCCAAGGCAAAGGTTGAGAATCTGACCACTGCTAGGTTCAAAGCTCAGCTACGATCTTAGTCCCGAGTCAGGCGGTTCCAAACACAAGGTCCCAGAACACAAGTCAGCCATTACCGGCCTGACTCTCAGACCCGATCTAACAGAGCACGAGGGACAGTCACTAACTGGAGTCAAGCTTAGCCAAACCAACCTGAGAGGCTGATGAAGGTATTCCCGCTGTATTGGCCCCTGGCTTCAAAGGGTCAAAATTCAGGTCCAATAGACTTCCTTCATCCGCTAGAGGCCCAACAGCCTCAAACTTGGAAGGGCGGGAGAGAGGGAGGGAGGGAGGCAGGGAAATAAAACAAACATGCATTTATTCGTCACACAAGTCAAAGGGTTGGTAACGGTTTCAGGGTACAACGTACAAAGGTGCACATGTCGGTCAGGACTGTGGAGCAGAGTTGGCTTTTTTTTTAAAAATACGTTAAAAAAAAGGCCAACAGACAACACTGTGAACAATGTGAATGAAGCAACACGATGCATCAACGTAGGCTTGAAGGAGAAAAGTACGAGCGTTAAAATTACTTACAAAACACATTGCACTGATCTCTGTGGCCGGACTGAAAGCTGAACATGGATTACCATAGACTGTACAGAACGGGAAACAGCCGCTTCAGTCCAAATAGTCTCTGCCTGCGTTTATACTCCATATACGCACCCCTTCTTTATTTGGGTTGAAGGAAGGAGCAAATCTAGCCAAATCCATTTCTCTCGCACTCGCTTGGTCCATCTTGATTCTCAAACCACCTAATTTAATTTCCCCCCCAAACTAAACAATCCCAAGACCTCAAGGCCAATTGGCTCAGGATTTTCCGCAGGAGAAATAGGAGGGTTAGAAGTTTGAAGGATATTTCTACGCTCAGCGGCTTGGTAAGTTCTGGGATTCCTTACCACAGGTGGAGCAATAAAACCCCTCAAAAGTGAACTGGGATAAACACTCAGAGCAGAGAAGCATCGAGGGCATAAGAGCAATCAATTTAACAATATCAGGTTACATTGGATTAAATTAAATTGGGCAGAGAGATGTTGGCCCTATCTTTTTCCTGAGCTGAAAACGTCCAGGTCTGTAAGTGCTTCAAGCAGCGGACATCTGATAAAACCGTCCACATCTTGTTGAGCTCGTCTTGAACCATTTAGTTATTTATTTTTTATTGCGGATGCAGTTTTGCAGCAACAAAACCAAATCCACTGTGAGTTTATAAACCGCTCCACGTTTAAGGCACATCAAACCTGCTGAAAGGCTGTTCGAATGCACATATGGGGTTCCAGTTCAAACGACAACAACAACACCACCTTGCATTTACATGGAGCCCTTCACTCCATCCCGGAGTGCCTCACGGCAGGGGAAAGAGAAGGGAAGGGGAGAAAACAAGTGTACTTCACAAAGTGGGACAGGAATTGGCTCCAGGAAGGATTTTTGCTTGTGGTACGGGGGAAAAGGGAAATAAAAATCCCTTTTACACTGAAAATAATGCATCATGCCCCCAATTGTACTTGGTGCCTGAAATTGTTATTTCAGTTGTTTCCTACTTTTCCCGCCACCCCATTCCATTCCATCCATATAAAATATAGTCTTTCCCTTTGTGGCTATTTGTGGGGACAATGTTGTCCCCAAACACTGTGGCTGCTGCGATCGTCTGACAAAAAAAAGTCACTACACTTTAGAGTAAATGCTGTGGAGCACTTTGAGACGCAATTAATTAATCACTTTGCAATTGCACACAGCAGTGTCCCAAAAAGTCGTGGATTGAGTGACCAAATTATTATTATTATTATATTTTTTGAAGAGATTATTACCCCCGGAAAAGGGATCCGCCAATCGACTAACAACCGGGTTCCTCCTTACTGCGGCGTAAATAGAGGTGTGTGGAGTAAGGAAACTTGCCCAAGGTTTCGCCCCGCCCGGGAATCGAACCCGGGTCCTCTCGCTTGCGATTCGAGTGCTCTAACTACTGAGTTACAGGACTCCAGTTCCCAGCTTCGCAACAAATAAATCTCTGCACTGCGCTTGCTGTAAGGAGCCTTTAAACAAACAAAAAAAATGCTCATAGAATTAGAGTTCTTCAAGATTCTGGAGAACTAATAGCGAATTGGAGAAGTTCCCCTTTCAAAAAGGTCAAACAATTTCTCGATGTTCTCGAAAAGGCACCAGCGACAAAGCTGAGCCCAAGAATCAAAGGGATGAGCTTCAAGGAGAGAATGGGTATTTTCATCGCTGTAGGCTTGAGACTTATACAATATTAATTGCACAGATGGGACAAGCTCGAAACAAAGACAGCGGACTGGTTTCATGAACAATATTAGGAAAAAATATCTTCACTGAAATGGCCAGAACCAGTCTAGTGAGTAGAGAGAGAGATAGTTTTTTTTGGGTCAGCCGGGTGTCCGACACACGTGGAAACCCATCACCTTGTGCTTAAGAGTCTCCAAACCAAGCTGAGATTTCCACGCCTCCCACCTAGACATGGAAATCCCAGAGATAGATTGTTGGAATGGATGCACTCTCTCTCGCTCTCTCTCCCTGGAGGGATGCACCCTGCCTACCTAATTCCAGAGAGTGTTAGGCGCAGGTTGGCAAGAGCTGAGGTTTGGGGGGAGCCCAGAGTGTGCGCTGGGGGTGACTGCTGGAGACTAACCAGCGAAAACCACACAGAGGGAGACAAAGTGGATTAAATATAAGGTACAATGGCTGGTCTTCTCATCTTCCAATAACCTGGTACATCAGGACACACCGAGGGAGATTATTAATGTCCCCTCAGGGACATTCCAGGAGAGAGATTCACTGAGTGACTGATAGATGGTATTAAAAACACCACGACTCACAACGAGCAATGGAACGAGAACTAAGAGTTAAAACTAGTGCAGAACATGCATCATGCTTCATGCGGATGGAGGTGAGTGAAACAAGACCAGGCGGGGGAGGGTGGGATGATGGGGGTTAGCACGACGGAGATGGTGGGTGGTAATGAGATCACAACAACAACAACAACACCAAGGTAGGCGAAGAGGGCTGGCTAACCTTCGATGGTGTGGTCACACTTATCTCGGGGATAAAATTGTCGTCAAACAGATTGAGGATATTTTCTTGCTTGACCTCCTTGGATGGTGTGCTCTTGGGTGGGGGAGGAACAGGAGGCCCCTTCCTATTCTGCGTGTGCACAACGGGAGTAAAGAGATCAACAGCGGGAGACAACCCAGCGTAGAGCGTTCCCGCACGCGGGATACCAGGCTGGCAATCACCAGCGCCAACGCTATAACGCCACAAGTCACAAGTCACACACCAACTGCACTGGAGCACGACACAAGGGAGCAGAGTTGGCGGGCATGACAAGACAACAACAAATTAGATTCGCACGGCGTCGTTCACATCAGGAGGACGTCCCAAAGCGCTGGACAGTCAGGGATCCGAGCTGTGGTTGGGATCAGGAGGGGTGGAGGGGGCAGTGAGGGTAAGGGTGAGAGGGTGACTGAAGGCACGGTCGAAGAGGAGGGTCTTGAGATGGATCTTGAAGGAGCCGAGGGAGGTTGAGGGGGGATGGAGTTCCAAAGGGTGGGACAAGTGTTACTGAGGCAAGAGATCAGAACAAGGTGTGTTGGACAAGGAGACAGAACATTAAAGACAGATTGGCGCTAGTTAATTATTATATTATTATCATGATTATTATTATAAGGGAGACCGGTCACTTGCGTACTGTCAGCAAGGTCACGGCTTCCTTCCTTTGCCACTCGAACAACACAGGTTCCCCCACCCCTCCTCCCCCCGCCTCCCACAAACACAAAGTCAAACTGCTCGTTAACATTCACTGCTGAGCATGAGCTCAGTGAACGACTGCACAGAGTTTAGTACCAGTTTGCTGGCAGCTCAGAGTCACTGGAGGCACTCATTGAGACACTCAACCTCCAGCATTACCACTCAACAGACTGAAAGACACTCAGAGTTAGACCTGTAGGGTAGCCCTGGGACATCAAATAGGGAGTAATAATACAGATACTATAAGCGCGTCAACTCAGATGGTATGGGATGGGCGGGAGGGAGGGGAAAGAGCTGACAGGGAATGATATTAGAAATTTGATTCTGAGCCAACAAGGCCACGGCAGGTTGAGTCACACTGGGAGAATGTTGTCTCTCGAAAAAGTAAAAAAATTTTTTAAAAGAAAGCAATTTTCAAAAGTAGTTTGTAATGCAGGGGGGACAGACGGGGGCGGGGGAGAGGAAAGAAGAGAATGGGATAGAGACAGAAAAAGACTTGTGCTTGTAAAAAAAAAATAATCTATCCTTCAGTCACAACAAAACATTCAACATCTGTTGGATTCATTCAGCCGGTCCCAACGGAGTGATTTGGACCAGAAATTCCACTTTGACAGCAGGCTCTCCTCTCCGCCCTCTTTCTCTCTCCCCCATGACACACACATAGTTGACTCACAGCTCGTAAACACACAGAAGCACCAGAAAATTTGCTCGTATTTACTGTCTCAGGACCTAAGCTCCTCATGCTCCGAAATTTTAAGTAAGAAAATCGGAGGCATCCTTAAAGCCAAGGCCTGACTCCTTCCCCAATACCAGGCAAGTTCGAAGTTCACTTGCTATGGTAGAGCCAAGGCTGTACAAAAGCCACCAAAATGAGAGGGGGGGAGAGGTTTGGTACACTGCTCAACAGTCTCCCCTCTTCATAGTTTTATTTAAGATGCTCCCACGCTCAGACAGTTCCTATTTTAAAAAAAAACGCTAGTATTGAAAGATCTAAAGGAAAGGGTTTGAAGGCACCAACAACTGAATGCAGAAGGCAATCGGACGGGTTAACGACATTCATCGCAAAAAAATGTAAACCAAGAGGAAGGACTTGAGACGGACCATGAAGGAGGAGAGGGAGGGGGGGGGCGAAGGGAATGCGTGATGGGAGTTCCAAAGTGTAGCTGCTCACTGTACTTTCCCAACACGGTCACGATGCTCTTGTCACCGGTCAAGATTGAAAGAAGCAAGACAAGGGAAGTTTGCAGGAAGGACTTGACATCATAAAAGGTAAAGAACACCTCTCGGTTGGCAAGTGTCCCCTTCCCCCCACTCCCCCCCTTCCCCCCACCTCCCCTTTCCCCTCGTTACCTGTGTTGGTGACTTGGGGACAGGAGGGACTTGCTGGGCGGGAGGACACACAGCCAGCACGTGGTTAGTCTGTTTCACCTCTGGACTCGTTGGAGGAGACTCTTCCACCGTTGGGGTCACCGACTTCTCAGGGCCACTGTGGGTGCAAACACGCACAGCAACAAAAACTGTAATAGTCAATAATAATAATAATAATAATAATCCTCTGGTGGGCTGTGGCGATACTATGCCTCTCCTCCTCAAGGTGCTAGCTCCATGGATGACTGCTCCACCGCTCAGCTTGGCAATAATAATAATAATAATAGTAATTTGTTTAAGGAGGAGGCCTCAAAGCACTTCATGGGATTTTCTGTAGAATACGAACCGACAGCATTTCAAAGACGAACACACCAGCCAATGCATACAGCAATGTCCCACAAATAGTCATGAAGTAACAGATAAGTTTTTTTTCCATGGTGGATTGTTGGCCAGGACAATCCACCATCCTTGCCTTTGATATAGCGCCTTATCATGTCATTGAGACGTCTCGAAGCGCTTCACAGAATACACTGTAACGTGTAGTGACTGTGTATTTTGTAGTTTGTGTGCAAAACGCGGCAGCCAATCGCACACAGCAGCGTCCCCACAAACAGTCGTGGAATGAGCGATCAAATTATTGTTAAAATGTGCGTGGAATAGCGATGCAAATTGAAAATGGCCAGGAACACGTGTGGAGAAAGACTTGGCGATTAAAATCGACACAGAAGGAAAAGCTGTCCCCTGTGCGATCAGATCCACAGGGAGTCATCCAAAGATCCTCATTAATGACAGCCAAGTCCACATGTTCCACCGCCCTAACCAAGATTACTCGAGCATGACTCAATCACACCACAGCTACACAATTAATGAAGCGGACGACCAACTTCCCTCAGCTCCTCAGCAAAGTCCACACAGAAGAAGAAAGAGTGTTTGCAGCAGTACTTTGACTATCAGTGAACAGAGAGAAATTGCCCTTCACCCCATTCTACCTCTACAACCTTCTGCCTCTCGCTCCGCCCGACACCAGGCTATTTCAGGTCCCCCACCCGATCTGCCATCGGCGGCCGATCCTTCAGCCATTCTGCCCCATTCCACTCTCTGGAACTCTATCCCAGAGACCCTCTGCCTCCCCCTCCCTCCATCCATCTTGAAAGCTTGGCCTAATTTTTGACCGGGCAGTCGATCATCTTTATGAAGAGCGTGCGTGAGAGAGAGAGAGAAAAAAAAGATTGCACTCAGATGAAACGAAATAGTGTCTCAGAGAAGATGACTAATAAAGCCAAAAGGGTCCACCACAGTGTTCAAAAAGGCATTAGACTCATGATCGGTCTGACTGGCTTGAAATACAGTATTTAAGTACTTCAGCACCCAGTTTCTGAGCTGTACCTTATATAATAATAATAATCATCCTTGTAATTGATACAGCATCTTGTCATGCCTTTGAAATGTCTCAAAGCGGTTCACCGAATATATTGTAAAGTTAATTGACTGTATGTTTTGTGGGCGCAACACGGCAGCCGATTGCGAACAGCGGCGTCCCCACAAACAGTCGTGGATAGAGTGACCGAATTAATTTCTAACATTTATTTTTTGAAGGGATTATTAACCCCAGAAAAGCAGTTCCTACTTACTGCGAGGTAAAGAGAGGCGCCTGGAGGAAGGAAACTTGCCTAAGGTTTCACCCTGAATGAATCTATGACGGGTGGGGCTCGGCAGGCAAGTGAGAACTTGAGACTAGATTTCTCCAAAGTGACCAAAGCATGACTCCCATTACATCCTTCTTTTCCTACCACCCCACCCACCCCAATCAATAACTAAAATCTAGTTAAAAAAAAATTCTAAAACAAAGCACCACAGTTGTTCAATAGTAATAATAATCCTAGCATTTGATACAGCGCCTTATCACATCTTTGAGACGTCTCAAAGCGCTTCACAGAATATACTGTAAAGTGGATTTACTGTGCATTCTGTGGGCGAAACCCAATGGTTAGGATAAGACGCCTTCACCAACCTTATTGCTTTGACAGGCAGAGGCTTGCCACTGTGTTGATGTTCAAGTTGCAGCATTACACCATTGAGATTCTGGTTGAGCTGTGAATACACAAACCAGCGAGGAATGGTCAGTATAGAGAATACCCCGTGGAACACGTCAGACTGGCTCTGTCACTCCAAGAGCTCCGTATACTCCGGTCTCCAGCTCAGAAAGTCATGGGTTTGAGCCCCACATTGGGCCTCTAGGCTTCTACTTTGAGCCAGAAGTCAACTCCCTTCTCTTTTCGATTAGCGTCATGGGATCTTTAATGTCTACCTGAGCAGATGGATGGGACCGCTGTTTAACGTCTCATCCAAAAGATGGTACCTCCGACAATGCAAACCTCCGCCACCACCGCCCCCCTCCACCACCCCAGCGCTCCATCCATTGGAGCGTTAGCTTAGACTGTACGAGTTCAAGGCCCAACGTGGGATTTGAACCCACAAGCTTCTGACTCAGAGGTGAGAGTGCTACCACTGAGCCAGGCTGACATATGAGACTGACCGAGCCAGACTAATACAATTGGCAAAACACCAGTGTGTAGAATTTCGATCGAGATTCTCAAATTAAAAAAAGGACAAATGGGGAACGCAATCTTTCCATTTGACTCAAAACTTGGCCGACATCTGACAGCTGAACAGCTGTCCTCACTGTAACTCTACGCTAATGCTACACAGTCACAGCTCAAAGAACGACTTATTCCCCAGAACAGGAATGAGATAATAAAAGTAATAATACTCGCATTTGATATAGCGCCTGATCACGTCGTTGAGACGTCTCAAAGTGCTTCACAGGATACACTGTGAAGTGGAATGACTGCATATTTTGGGGGGGAAAACGCAGCAGCCAATTGCGCACGGCAGCGCAATGTGGATTGAGTGACCACATTTTTTTTCGGAGGGATTATTAGCTCGGAAAGCGAACAATCAGGTTCCTACTCGCTGCTGGGTAAAGAGGCGTGCGTGTGGAGTAAGGAAACTTGCCTAAGAGTTCGCCCTGCCCGGGAATCGAATTTGGTCCTTTGGCTTGCGAGGCGAGCTCGCTACTCTATGGGACACCACACAAACTCTGGAGAGGTGTTCAAAAAGCACATTTTGACATGTAGGTACACACTGTTAAGAAAAAAAAAGTAATGTTCCGTCCGTGCAATTTTTCCAGATGGGTTTGGTTACTGTACTCTCCGCTGAAAATGCTTTGCCGGTCTTTTTTTTAATATTTAAGAAGAAAGGAAACAGTGGAACGTGAGCAGAATTAATTACCTTGCCCATTTCTTTGTGAAAATTCTCTTCCAGTCCGGCTATGCTTTGGAATGTGTTCACGTAAAAGCCCACACGACTGGAAAAGAGGAAGGTACAGGGGGGAGACAAATAAGTGCGTGTGCAAAAGGTTTAGTAACTGCAAGACCTGAAACTCAAACAAAAATTGAATTCCTTGGGGACACAATTCCTGTTCACAGGACTGGAAAGACCATTGCAGCCATGATGATGGTAAGTAATGCTACACTCAACCGGCTCACAAACCCCGGATGAATCAATTTTATTCTCCAAATCACGACATCCAACCCTTCTCAAACTTCCTCACCCAATCTGTCCCACGTCCTCCCTGCTTCCGCTCATCCGTAATAAAGGGAGAAAGTTTATCTTCTCTTTCAGAATAGTGGCATGGGACCAGCACTACATTGGAGGGTTGGACTAGATGGGAGTTCAATGTCCCGACGTGGGGCTCGAACCCACAACCTTCTGACTCGGGAGGCGATAAAGGGGGAAGATAGACAGGAACGAGACTTCTGAATCTTTGCATGTAATTAATTCCGGGAAGCTGCTGAGCTGCAGCCCTTTCTCAAGTGATCCCTTGTGCCATCTGTGTCCAATCTGCAGAGCATTTGTGTGTGGGCGGGTGGGCTGGGCTGCAGGGATTAACATATAGGTACCTCCTGTGTTGCTGGGAAATGATGGCAGGCAAAAGCAAAAATATACAATTACATACAATTAGCTTTTAAACACTGGTTACTCTTTTTGGTAAACCCCTTCCTCCCCCATTGCACCAGCCTTGAAGGCTGTAACGTAAAGTGGACACAACACAACATTGCAAGACAGTAAACGACAGGATTCCCGTCATGGACTTGAAAACACATTGTTAATCTGCTCCTAGATAATACTGTCGTATTTATCTTTGTGTTCCTAGCACAGTCTGTCCACTCATTCAGCCCCCACTCCCACCCCCGCGGTTATAATCAAAATATTAACTTCATGTCGATGGGATTAATCCTTTGAACGCACAAAGTTTTTAAATCGCTCTCTATAGCCTGCTCTAACCACTCCCCTCCACCCCTACACCTAACTAATAATTGTTCTTCACTGACACGTACACAGAACTCCTCAACAGAGAACAAAAGTGGGGCGATGGTGGGAGGGAATGGGGGGAGAAAGGAGAGAATCGTTAAGACTGAACAACAGAGGCTGATGGACTTTGATATAGCGCCTTAACACGTCGGAAGGTCATCTCAAAGCGCTTCACAGGATTTACTGTGAAATGGAGTGACTGTATTTGTAGGTAAAATGCAGTAGCACAATTGAACACAGCAACGTCCCGCAAACAGCCATGATACGAATAACCAATTTTATTTGGGGGACTGTTGGTCAGGACGCCGGAGAGTGAGAGAAAAATTTGCTTTTCTTTTTGAATAGCACTGCGGGATCTTTAACGTCCACCTGAACAGTCAAGAGGGAACCTTGGTTTAATATCTCATCCGAATAATAATAATGCTTACATTTGCTATAGCAAAGACATCCCAAAGAGCTTCAGAGAATATACTGAAAAGTGGAATATTTTGTGCGCGAAAAACACAGCAGCCGGTTTTCGCACAGCAACGTCCCAAAGGACATCCGGAGGACGAGATTTGACTGCGTCGGACAACGACCTTGAATTGGCAGTGAGCCCGATCAAACCGCTAGGTTACACAGTAGAAGATCGAACTTGAGCCGCAAGATAAAAATAACTGGATTAACAAACATTATTGGTGATTGGGTGGAAAGAGAGAGAGAGAGGCGGAAAGAGAGAGAGAGAAAACGGATGTGGCATTTGAAAACTGGATTCGTTCCCTGAAATGGTGACTAAGATTTAGTATCACGACTACACACTAGTGGTCAGTTCAAGATCCTCATGCTCATCTTCAAATTCCTTCATGCCTGGCACCTCCCTACCTCTCCAACCTGCTTACTGCCCAACTCACTACCCGCTGCCTCCGCTCGACTGGCTCCGGACTCCTGCTCGGCTCTCGTGCCATCTGTTCCACCATCGGTGGCCGCACTTTCAACCACTACGCCCTGAAAGACTGGAACACTCTCCCTCTATCCCTCCACCTTCCCCCTCCTTCCCATCTTCAGGTAGCGGCCTGAAGTCCTTCCTCTTTGACCGTGCCTTACAGGGGCGCTGTGTAAATGCAAGTTGTTGTCATTGTTGGTCACTGCAATCTTAAGAGACAGCACAGAACACTCAAAGTGGAGTTGATGAAGGGTTCCTTGGCCCAATCTGATCTCAAGGTGACGAAGGAAGGGTTTCACCCACCTGTTCCACAGGGAGGGCAGCTCCTCTTGCAAGTCGATGTTAATTTCTTCAAATACTTTCTGGGCTTTTAAAAACTCCTCTTCTGCCTTTAAAACAACAACAAGCAATGCCCAAAAAACAAACAGTGAGTCACATCAAAACAATCTGCTATACCGACTACGAGACCGTCTAAGCTCGATGAGGGTTAGACTGTGGAGTGCGGCGACTGTGTATTGTAGGGAAACTCGAGTATTTTCATTGAATATTATAAACGCACACAGGCATTTCACAAGAGAAAAATTAGCGAGTGTGTGATATATATGGGTCGGATAGATAACCTTGCATTTGATATAGCACCTAATGCGAGTGTGTGTGTATCTGTCTCTCTTTCCCCACTCCCTTTGGAGGGGGGGGGGGAGGGATAGTGACACAAACACAAACACACATTCCGAGGTGTACTTCACCCTCCAACTTACCTGTGAGAGAGGAGATTGGTGCCACAAGATAACGCATACTTAAATATGGGTGGGGGGAAAGGGAGAGGAAGAGGGAATGAGCAGAAGGAAATGACATAAACAGGTCTTAATTCAAAACTCAGTTTGTTCCCTGGAACTCTAACCTGCTTCATTCTTCTACTTCTCGTCTAATTGCAACAACAGCTCTGTGCTAATTCTCTCACCTCCTCACAAAATTCCTTTTTCACAGGCACAGCGATCAGTATACAGTATACAGTAATAAAAACCTTGCCTTTAATACAAGTACCTTGCACATAGGACAACATGCTCAAAGTGCTGTATATAGACAGGGACAGACACCGAGCGAGGCTGTGGGTCTGGAGATGACCACAGACACGGGTCAAAAAGGCAGGTTCTCAGAAGCTGAAACACTGGCTGAATTGTATCCTGTACACTGAGGCGAATTGCACCAAAAAAAAACAGCTAACTCAACTCCATGTCGCAGGGTTTACTGGACAAACAATTCAGGTCACTGGAGGACAGTTCACTGGCTAGTTAGCAGCAGGAACCCACCCTTGGGATTGCGATAAGATCGAAGTATTATATAAAATACTATATAAAAGAATTCTACATTGTATGCATTCAAGCATTAGAGCCACGACCATTAGCAATGCTTCCAGCAGTTACACAGCCAGAGAAGACAGACAGACGCCCGCATTTTCAAGGCTTGAATATTAAAAAGCAGGTCACCCAAAAAAGGTCGCAAAATCTCTTTAAGGGAGAGGTATTGATGGGACTGTTATTAATAGCTGCATTCCTGCGGAAAGCCGCCCCATCAGCATTTACTCTGCAGCAGTGCGGATTCAGCATCCGCCACGGCCTTGCTCCTTCCTCCCTACCTTTGTGACCTGTTAATTCCATCGAGCCCTGCCCCGACCTGCTCCATGTCCCCCACCCGGCACTCCACGCCATCGATGGTCGGGGCCTTCAGCCTTTCTGCCCCCACCCTTTGGAACTCCATCCCACAGTCCCTTCCCCTCGCTCCCTCCCTCGCCTCCTTCAAAGCCCCGTCTCAAGATCCTCTTTTTCTATCGCGCCCTCAGTCACCCTCCTACCTCTACCCTGTCTGCCTGCCCGCCACCCCTACCGATCCCAACCCTCCCTGCTCAGGTCCAAATTCCTTGACTGTCCAGCCCTTTGGGACGTCCTCCCGCGTAAATGTAATTTGTGGCTGTTGTTGAAGCGACCAAAACCAGATTAAGATCACCGTCTCATTCCCAATTCAGACAGTGCCAATTCAACTCAACGGCCCCGTTCAAGTCTGTTACCGAGCACCGAAATGTTCTACGTCAGTCATAGACATCAATTTGCAATTTCAACGCCTCTTGATACATCCTCCCGACATGAAAGGAAAAGATATTGAACCAGAACAGCATCTAGGCTTAGAGGCTAAGAGATCAGTCAACCCACACAGAGAAAGTTATCCTCCCTTATTTTTTCTTCCTCATCTAAATGCACACTGGGAGAGTTGTGCAAGTGTAGAATTCACTGCCCCAAAAGTGTTGTAGGAGTCGGAACATTTAAAATACAGCAAAATCCTGATAACTCAATTCTGGCGAAACTCTAGTCAGTAGTGTCCCGCAAACAGTCGTGGATTACGTGACCAAATTGTATTATTTTTTTCAAGTGAATATTACTCCCGGAAAGGCCATCCACAATCGACTTAACAACCCAAGTCCTCTCACTTGTGAGGCAAGTGCTCTAACTAATAAGCTTTAACTTGTCACTCCCACTTAAGTCATCATGCTGTCTATTTCCTGACCACATCTATTTATGCGTTTGTACATATGCTAACTCACCACTCCTAATAACTCATCACTGAGCCCTTTTCCCTTGGAGTGACAAGCTATCAAATTACTGTATATATGAGAGAGAGAGAGAGAGAGAAGGGATGAATATTTGGTAGCTGGAGGGGAGAGTATTAAGAACACTGTGAAAGGGTATCAAGTTTCACATCAGCTGTGATCTAATAAAAGGATGGTACGAGTTGGAATGGTCTCTGGCTCCTAAGTTCACTTCAGCTGTTTTGACTTTTCACTGCGGTTTTGCGGAACACAGTTGGCGTGGATTAGCTGCTGCTCTTGCCTGCATGACCGAACACACTAGTTCATAAAAATTATTCTTGCATCTGATACAGCGCATAATCATGTCGTCGAGACGTCTCAAAGCGCTTCACAGAATATACTGTGAAGTGGATAGACTGGACTTTATGGGCGAAACGCAGCAGCCAATTGCACGCAGCAGTGTCCCACAAACAGTGGTGGATTGAATGACCGCTTGGTTTTTTAAAAAAGACTATTACCCCCAGAAAGCGATCCACCAATCGACTAACAACCAGGTTCCTACTTACTGCTAGGTAAACAGAGGCGTGTGGAGTAAGGAAACTTGCCTAAGGTTTTGCCCTGCCCGGGAATCAGACCCGGGTCCCCTCGCTTGCGAGGAGAGGGCTCTAACTGCTACGCAACAGGACTCCTATATGCTCAAATCAAACAGATGCTGTGCATTCTGCTTACCTAATTCTGGAAAGCATTGGTAAAAAAAACACCGAGGAAGTAGCACTAAACAAAAAAGGCAATCAGTCAACGAATCGGACCCCACCACATCACACAAAGGCAGAAAGGAAAGATGCGTCACCTGGTTTCGGAGCAGGTTGGATTGTGCAACGATATGAGCCACAAGTTTTCCCTGGCACCACTGAGGCGCAGCTTTCTCAAGCAGCGAGACAGGCTAGGCGGGAGGGGGAGGAGGGGAGGAGAGGGAGGGAGAAAAAACACACACAAAAAAAAGCAGAGAGGAGATTATAGCGAGAGTAACAGGCATTAAATGAATTGCATTGCGTTAAAAATATCCACACAGCACCAAGCTAAGCTTCTGCTCAGCAAAACCGGTTGTTAACCAGAGCTGCAAACAAGTAACAAGACAAGAATTGTTAGTCACACCACAGCGTTAATTTAATGAACAGCGCATTTCCCCATAAACATTGCAGCACAAACGCAACAAAGTTAGGAACCTTATTAGGACAGGGTAAATAGCTGGAGCGAGCTGCTTTCTGCCAAAGAGTTGGCAAGTCAGTGAGTAACAAGAGGATACAAATTGAAGGTAACAGAGAGAGAGAGAGAGAGAGGGAAAAAAATATTTGAGAGGTTAGAAGATTTCATCGCATTATTTAACACAGAGGATTGCTGGAATATAAGATGCTTTCTCACAACAAACGGCTTCTGAAGGCTGAATTCCAAGGTGGATAGATTTTTATTAAGTAAGGGCATTTGGGGATGTGGGATGAGGACAGGGTATTTAGCATTGTGCGGGATTTACTGCTAGGGAAACATGATTACTGATACAACTATCCCAATTGATGGAGCTCACTGAGAACATAGGAACAGGAGTAGGCCATTCAGCTCCTCGAGCCTGTTCCATGGTTCGGTTTGATCATGGCTGATCTATAGCTCAACTCCAATTGCCCACTGAAAGCCACCAGTGTCTCACGCTCTGTTCAACTCAACCTCGTCCCCATCATCTCCCCTCCGGAAGTCATCTCCACACAGCGGGGTAAGGTTCCCCGAGCATACCAAAGAGATTTCAAAATCCTCTGCGGGTGTCGCCTCCGAACTGTACAGAAGACAGGAATTGCAGGCGGTACGATTCAGTGACAGGAATCGCCACGAGATGGTTGCAGGAGGCACGGGCCATTGGCCTCGTATCTTTCGTTCAATCCCTTTTGCTGCCTCTCTGTTTCAGCCAGGGTTAGTTGAGTTGTTGTAAATAGAAAAGGCTTGATTAAGTCAGGTTACACGTGCAACAACAAATCCCATTCATGAGCGTGCAGCAAGCAAAAATAGTCGTGAGAGAGAACTGGGGTGGGGGGGGAGGGGAGAAGGAGGGGAGGGGGGGAACGAAAGGGGGGAAGGAGGGGGAGGGAGGAAGGGGGCCAAAAGGAAGGGGGTGGGGGGGGGAAAGAGAAAAAAGAGAGAGGGAAAAATAGCAAAGAGAGAAGAGCGAGAGTGGAGGGAAAATAAACTTAGGTGCCAGGGAACATCACGGTTTCCACAGTTTCTACGTCAGAATAGGTTTCCTTGAATTATCTGCAGCCGTTCTCTAAACAGGACAAAACAAATCGCTTCCCCTTCCGGAATTGCCGGCCTGGATGGCTGCAAGGAATCTTTCTTTTTTCCTCCTCCTGCTCCTCCTCCTCCTCCTTCTCCTCCTCCCGAGAAAAGTGCTGGGAAGCCCTACAACCGGCTCAGCGTTCCCTAGGGCACAAACTCACCCGCTGACCCACCACAGGGTTTAAACCAGCCACCTCTGTCAAGAGGGCAATCGACTTCCAAGAAAGAATACAATGGCAGTAATAATAATAATAATTCTTGCATCTGATACAGCGCCTTATCACGTCTTCCGAGACGTCTCAAAGCGCTTCACTGTAAAGTGTAATGACTGTAAATTTTTGTGGACGAAACACGTCCCACGTACAACCATGGATTCAGTGACCAATTTAGTATTTTTTGGGGGAAGGAATTATTCCCCCCTCGGAAAAGCGATCCGCCAATCGGGTTCCTACTGACTGCTAGGTAAACAGAGGCGTGCGTGGAGCAAGGAAACTTGCCCAACAGTTTCACCCTGCCGGGAATCAAGCCCAAGTTTCTCGCTTACGAGGCAAGTGCTCTAACCGCTGGGCTACAGGCAACGCACAATTATATGGCGCCTTTCACTTCCGGTGGCCACCCTCACAACCAGCCACAAGCAGGACAAGTCCACAAGCTGGAAAATAGCATATTAAAAACTCAACAGAAACAGAAAGATTTACAGAGTCCAGAAAACACAATCCAGCTTCAGCTCTTGAACGTTTCCATTGGAAATCTGACAAGGAATTCATCGCCATCTCGCTTCGTAACTGGATCCTGGACATTTTAAAGTCCTGCCCGTGGAACGCAGTTTGACGGTAACAGTGAGGAGGTGAGGGTTTGAGAATTGGGGATTTACCTTCGCTATCTTGACGTCATCTTTCTTTTTTGAGCTTTGGAGGGACTCATAATGGTGCCTTGCACTGTCGTAATCCACCAGCTTCCTGCCACGTTTAGCAATACGGGTCTGGAATGAGGAAACTATGATCAAACACTGGGAAATTAATAATAATGATGATCCTTACACTTAATCCATAGTATTCACGGCAGGGGGATGTCTCAAAGCACTTCACATGGTTATTATCATATACAACTTCTTCTTGTTTGGCCTGCAAACATTCTTTGCGTCATTTCACCAACAAAAAAAACACACGCAGTTGCTACACTTTACAGTGAATCATCATCATAATAATAATCCTTGCCTTTGCTATAGAGCCTTATCACGTTGTTGAGATGCTTATCACAAAATACTGCTAAGTGGATTGACTGTGTATTTTATGGAAATATAAGTAGATATAAATAATAATATTATTTAAGATGTCTCAAACACCTGATAAGGCCCTACATCAAATGTAAGGATTATTATTATTATTATTATTCACTGTAAAGTATAGGGACTATGTGTTTTGTAAGGTGAACTGAGACACAGGATGTTTGTAGGTCAAACAAGGACAACTTGCATTTATACAGCGCCTTCACATAGGGTAACAGAGATCTTCACAAGTACAGGGTTGGACTGAGAGGGGCAAGAAGGAGGGGATAGAGGGAGAGAGTTGCAGAGGTGATGGGCATAGGAACTCAAGGAACTCAAACCTTGCACAGTCGAGCGTTCCAAGAGGACGACACGTTACAAACAAACAAACAAACAAACAATCAGGGATGACAATCCAAACAGAACCAGGAAAGAAGTTTGGTTCCTACCTTGATATCCGGGAATTGGCCCAGGTAAGTGTCCAGAGTCAGGAGGGCTTGATCCACCAGCTTCTGGTGGTAATCTGTCCAAAGGAGGTCACAGTTCTGTAGGAACAAAAAGCCAAAGCCACTCAATTATACTGTAATAACCTCATATTTTCATACAGAGGCAAATAATTCGCGCATCTCAAAAGCGCTTCACAGGTAACGTCATGAATTGGTAGGCAAATGCAGCAGTCAATTTGAATACAGGATTACACAGAAGCCAACCGAGAAGTGTATTGACCAATTTAACCAGTGGTTTTGCTGACCAGAGCACAGGGGAAATTGCGCCCTGTGAGTGGTAGACGGACGCTTGAACGGACAGACGTGATCTCAGATTTGCAGCGTTCCCCCAAGTTCTTCTTTAGAATGTCAATCTGTAGCCCAAACATGTGGTTGGGGGGTGGTATTCCTTTCCATAACCTTCTGATCCAGAGCAGTGGCAGATGTAAGAGAGGTGAGGGGAGAGGCAAGGGAGTGGCTACCCCTTTAGGTGAATTTACAGCACATTTATCCCCTGCTCCGCCTCTCTCTGCACTGCCTCGCGTCTCGTACAACCTCATGAGAGGCAGACCGGGGAGAGGGGTTGGGTGGGGGGAGGCGAGAGGTACAGGCAATTGCATAGAGTAACAGGCTCTCCCCCCCCCCCACCCACTGATCCTGAGACAAGAGTGCAGCCCACTGAGCTGACCCAACACTGATAGATGGAGAATGTCAGACACTGATTAAAGGAACTTCTAAAACCAAAGAGTGAAGATGTGCAAACAGGGAATGGTGAACATAACATGTAGGAGCAGGAGGAGGCCATTCGGCCCTTCGAGCCTGCCCCGCCATTCAATCATGGCTGATCTTCTAATCTAACTCCAGCTAAATAACCTGACCCTGCCTTATCCCCATATCCCTTCATCCCTTTTGCAATAAGAGATCTATCTATCTCAGTCTTGAATATGTTCAAGGACTGAGCGTCAACAGCCCTTAGGGGTAGCGAGTTCCGTACATTCACCGCCCTTTGAGTGAAGAAGTTCTTCCGAGAGAGCGAAAGAGTGAGGGAAATGAGATTAGAGTAGATGGGTCCGGGGGGGGGGGGGGGGGGAGAGCTAACAGCATAGACAGGATGACCTTCCTTTGCAATCTCTAGATTGTGTAGCAAAACCAACCGAACGTGGGCAGGAAGTATGTAACCAAAACACACAAACATTTTTTTTTAAAAAAAATACAAGTCGCTTGCAAACAAATTCAGTGGTCTGAAGGGAAAGAAAGAGGACAAGTATTATTAATAACAATCCTCGCATTTGATACAGCGCCTTATCACGTCTTCAAGACAACTCAAAGCGCTTCACAGAATATGCTGTAACGTGTCGCGACTGTGTATTTTGTGGGCAATATGCAGCGCTCAATCGCGCACAGCAGTGTCCCGCAAACGGTCGTGGATTGAGTGACCAAAATTATTTTTTTATTTGGAAGGAGGGGGGGTGGGGAAGAGAGGGATTATTACTCCCGGAAAGCAATCCGCCAATCAACTAACAACCAGGTTCCTAGTTACTGCGAGGTAAACAGGGGCGTGTGGAGTAAGGAACTTGCCTACGCTTTCGCTCTGCCCGGGAATCGAACCCAGGTCCTCTCTCACTGGCGCGGCGAGTGCTCTAAAACCATTGCACCGCCGGGCTCCGCAAGTAGACGTTCTACGCAGTGTTGACGAAAGCACTGCAGCGCAGACGGTCATGACACACACACACACAAAATCAAAACTGCACATCTGCAGTTAAAGCTGGTTTGCATTTCAGCACAGCCGCACGCCTCTCGCCGCTTCAGACAGCTTTTGCTTATTCAAGACGCTGAGTGAAAACAGGGGTGGGGGGGGGATGACTCACTGAGCTATCGGGTCGAGTCTGCAGTGCAGCGCAGCACAGCACACCCACCCACGTCTTTGGTTCGATGCCAAGTCAGCTTTTGGAGCCGTTCCCAAGCTCCAGTAATTGACGGGGGCTGCACGCCCATCTTTCACCCAGAGCGACGGCTCTTCTTTTATATAGAGGAGGGGCGGGGGAGGGAAAAGGCAATAACCCGTGTCCCTAGCGAGAAGGAATCAGATACACTGTGAAATCTCACCTCTGCGATAGACGCTACGTCGCCTCTCCCAATCCACTCCGGCTCATAGATCTCCTCCAGGACTTCGGATAGTTTCTTTGTGGCTTCGTGCATAGCTGGAAATCAAGCGATTATAATAGGGGTATTATAAATATTAATAGTAATACAATAATCCTTGCGTTTGATATACTGCCTTATCACGTCTTCGAGATGTCTCAACGCGCTTCACGGGATATACTGTAAAGTGCAGTATATTTTGTGGGCGAAACGCAGCAGCCAATTGCGCAGAGCAGCGTCCCCACAAACAGTTCCGTAAGCGTCTGCCATTGAGTGATTTAATTTTTATTGTTGAAGGGATTATTATCCCTAGAAAAGCGATCCACCAATCGACTAACAACCGGGTAGAGCAAGGAAACTTGCCTAAGGTTTTTCGCCCCGCCCGGGAATCGAACTCAGGTCGCCTCGCAACTCAATGTTTTGAAAATTTGGTTTTACCGATTAGTACAATTTACATTCATGTAAACCGTACTCGCCAATCGGTGCAGCGCCTTTCATGTTGGGAGGACGTCTCGAAGCGCTTGATTAACCAGGCGAACGCAAGGTTCCCTACGTGAAATCTGCGACCAACAAACCACGTAACAACCTGTCCTCTCCCCCCGCTTGGCGGACCCTGGCCTGCCTTATGTCCCCCACCCCGCCTGCCCCATCATTGGCGGTCGGGCCTTCAGCTTTTCTGCCCCATCCTCCGGAACTCCATCCCACATTCCCTTTGCCTCACCCACTCCCGTACCTTCTTCAAGGCCCACCTCAAGATCTTCCTCTTTGACTGTGCCTTCGGCCACCCTTTCCCCCACCCCTCTCGATTCCAACATCAGCTGCACCCAGACAACCTAAACGAACTGACCACCGGCTATTTTTACAGCGCGCTCTGCTATACAATACGTTTACTTCAACCACAGAGACGAGCAGTATCCTCCGTCACTCGCCAACCACTGCCTGGGTGAGTTTCGGTCCTCGTGCCTCCGTAAAAAGCCTCACTCTTCAAATAAGCTTCGCATTCGACACAGCGCTCGTTCACTTCAAAACACCTCAAAGACTGTTTCGCAGGTATTTGCTGTCCATCCCGCAGTCCCTTCGCCTCGCGCCCTCCCTCTCCTCCCTTCCTTCAAGGCACGTCTCAAGACGCTCTTCTTCGACCGCGCCTTCGGTCACCCTCCTACCAACCCTCGCTCGCCCTCCACCCCTCCGGATGCCAACCCCCAGCTCGGGTCCAAATCCTTGACTCTCCGGCATCTTGGGATGTCCTCCCGACGTGAAAGGCGCAATGCGAATAGAATTTGTTGTCGTCGTTGCTGTTTGTTATCCTGTCAAGGATATACCTAGCCCGCAATACACTCACAAATGCTTTCCCACACCCACTACCTGAAAGATAGCACCAAATGCAATATTATTCCATTTGTGCACTGAGCCGCAGTAGAAACAGGTACCTTTCACAGCAGTCAAGTAGGTCCGCAGATCTTTCTGGAGCTTGGATCCTTCAGTCTGCGAGAAGGAAAATTGCACAAATCACAGAACATACAGAAATTTCAGATTAGCTGCTCACAAAATAAAAATACACAGCGAGAAAAACAGAAAAAAAATCACTGCACAGTGCAATGTCGCCAAATCACAGATTTTTTCCATTTCCGCTTTCACGCAACAGTAAAAAGAGAGAGAGAGAGAGAGAGAGACAGAGAGTCCTTTCCCAGATCTTCCATTGTCAGGAAATCCACAGGATGTTCTGCGTTTCCTGCGACTGTAAACTACTGATCCCGGTGGAAATAAAAAAAAAGAGAAAAGTGGAACATTTTTAAACAATTTTGTAAAAATGTGGAGCCCTGTAGCTCAGCGGTTAGAGAGCTCGCCTTGCGACAGACTTGGGTTCGATTCCCGGCAGGGCGAAACCTTGGGACAAATGGGCTCCTGCTGTGCTGTAAATTTCTATGGCTCTGAAAAGGTTGGGGATGCACAGCAAGTGAAAGGAAACCGATAAGGGCAACTACATCCAAGTGGTCTTGCTGTCCGTCATGCTCGAACGCGGGAACAGGGCAAGCAAGACCGCCACAGAGGGTAGACTCTTTTCCGACATTCTGTTGGCAAGCGGGTCACCTCGGAGCTGGTTCAGCTCCTTGACCCCAAGCTGTTTCCCAAGGAATGTCGGAATCGAGTCAACACCCCTTCCCCATCCTGATATCTTATGCTCCTTTTCACGGTGACAAACAACAAGCCCCTCACTTGTAGGTGGACATTCATGTTCATCCTGAGCAATGAACCACTCATACTACTGCAGAGCAGCTCTTTATTCAACTAGGACTGACAGCAGACCCCCAGGACCGCCCACCGGGATGCTTATCGGTGTGCAGTACCAATTCAGCAATCTCTCCATATTTGGGAGAAGGTCGCCTTAGATGTTAAAAGCCGGGAGAGCATTTGCGGATCGACATCGCCTCTCAGTGCAATTGTAAAAATCAGGATAACATAGGAACAGGAGGAGGCCATTCAGCCCCAGGTCTGTTCCAACATTCTATTGGATCACGGCTGCTCTGCACCTCAACTCCAATTACCCGCCTTTACCCCCATATTCCTTGAGACCCCGACCAAACAAACATCTATCCGGCTCAGTCTTAAAAATGTGACTGAATCCAGCATCCGCAGCCTTTTTTTGGGGGAGAGGGAGAGAGTTTCAGATTTCTGCTGACCTTTGTGTGTGAAAAATCCTTCCTGATTTCACTCTTAAATGGCCCAGCTCTAATTTAAAGATTACGCCCCCTTGGCCTGGATCCCCCACCCACCGCTACTTAACACGTGACACGGGCAATGGAGCAGTTATAATGACACAGTACTAACAAAAAGCCTCCAGGCTTTGGATGATCGTTGCAACGTAGACAGGACTGACACCATTGTTACGCAGAGAGTTAGGTTCTCGCCTCTTACCAGCTGTTTGTTGAAGTTCTGAACACAGTGCTCAAACTGTTCATCTTTCGTCTCGTCCGCCTTGCCCAGCTTCTGAAGGACCTGGAAGGTGAAGGAGAGAAAGAGAGAGAGAGAGAGAGAGAGAGAGAAAGAGTGAGCCAGGCCGGGTCTGAAATGTTCCCAGACACGATGACGCTAGCGCCGGACTTGGGATTGGTTTTGGAACGATGTGCGGCCAACATCTGGGTGAGGGTTCAAGCTACGGCGCAAGGGCCTTGAGTAGGGCAAACGGCATCTTTCAACAGCTGTTTAAGTCAGGCGTTCGTGCAACCAAAGCACAGCCCACAGGCCTCGTTGCTTCTGCAACATTGATCGTGTGCATAAGAGGGAGTTCCTCTTTCCCCGTTCGGTTGACCCGCTGACTGTAAGAGAGGAATCAGCACAGTTTTCTGACCCCAGTGTTGGCGATTGGGGGAGAGGGGGGAAGTCTGCTGCGGCTATTTATGAAGAACATTTAATTTTGAGTGAAATCGGGGCCTTTCGCAACACGACGTCTCGACGACACGTGAAGAACAGAATCAACGTCTGATGTTCACCGAACGGATTAATAATAATAATAATAATAGTACTAATCCTTGCATTTGGTACAGCGCCTTATCCCTCGGTTTAGGAGTCAACTTAAATTTCTCCCTGCGTTTGGGATCAAGCCGAATCGTACCACTCAGCGAGGTTTCCGCAACATGATTCCGCGTGGGAGATTGCCATCGGTTGCTCTTCACGCGAGCCCCACCACCCCACCCAAGCCTTTGAAGCGACGCCTCTCTCAGAAACGCTCACGTTGCGGGTATTTTTAGGACCTGATTTGCTGCGTCTCGAGACTCACCATATAGTTTTACAACCCAACGCTGTTTCCTGTGCCTAACCGCGAGCAGCGGTAAACATTCCAGATCTATGAATGGTGCTCTTCACACTGTCTTTCTCTCTCTCTCTCTCTCTCTCTCTGGTATTTGTGCCGTTAGCTTACAGCTGTCTGAGTCATTCATTCCAATACAGTACACACAGTCAGTATTTTCAACATCACAGCTAAAGCAGTGAGGACTGGAGGAACTGGATGCTTCTGAACACCGCGTCCTCAGAAACCCCCACACAATTCAGTGGAACAGCAGCGAATCATCATCCCGTCATCCCTCCATCCCCACCCACACCCGCACAGAGGTCTCAGTACGTTTAGCAGAAGGTAGCAAAGTGATGCCAAGCAGAGTTAATAATAATAATAATAATATAATAATAATAATAATAATAATATTAGCCGAAGTCTCCTGAGATTGAGGGAACCTTCAGAGGGCAGAGACCAGCTTCAAGGTGACCTTGGTTTGCAACCAGGTGAATGGTAGATAGTATTAATCCTCGTATGTGATTATAGCACCTTATCCCATCGTCGAGACGTCTCAAAGCGCTTCTCTCACAGGATACACTGTAGAGTGGATTGACTGTGCATTTTGCGGGCGAAAGACGGCAGCCAATTGCGTACAGCAGCGTCCCCACAAACAGTCGTGGATCGAGTGACCCCATTTATTTTGAATAAATCTAACTTTTTTTTTTAAAAGAGCTGCAGGTGAAGCTCAGATGGAGGGCCGCTGCCCACAGTGCAGGAAACAGCGAGCTTTTTTTTTTGTCGGGAGGGGACGGGGGGGGAAGGGGGAAGGAGAAACGGGCAAAAAGATAAATAAAGCGGCGGTTCGGCGGCACGAAGCCGGTTTCCGAAGCTCCGGGCAAAAGGAGGTGAGGAGTTCCCACCCGAGAGATACAGGAGCGCGTTTAACTCCTCATCCTAACCCTAACCACCGCAACAAGATTGCACGGTAGCACCAACAAGACCTTCCTTTGCTCTGAAATAAATAGAGAGAGAGATTGCCTATATACCAAGCCATCCCTCCCTCGGTCTGCGAGCAACGAGAGAGAGAGAGAGAGAGAGAGAGAGAGAGAGAGACACAGGAAGCGCAGCTCTCTATCACGCACATTCCACTCCAACCTCAAACCTAAATACAGATTCAGTCCGTCCCGTCCCCCCAGTGCCTTCAAACAAGATCCGCAGTCAGCGGAAAAAAAAATCACTTCACAACGTAGCCCTTAACCCCATGAGGATCCGAGCAACGGCCTCGAAGGATTGTTCTCCAAATACTGACCCTTGCATTCGGCCCCGCGCCGCTGAGGTGTCTCCCGCGCGCTTCGCGTGAATATACTGCAAAGTGGAGTGACTGCGTGCCTCGCGGGCGAAACGCGGCAGCCGTTGGGGCGCAGCAGCGTCCCCGCGCAAACAGTCGCGGATCGAGTAAGAAAGGGATCATTTCCTTTGTTCCCTCGGAAAGGGATCCGCCAATCGACTAACAACCAGGGTTACCGCTTACTGCTCGATAACCAGAGGCGGGTGGAGTAAGGAAACTTGCCTAAGCTTTCGCACCCCCCCCCCTCTCTCTCCCCCTCTCTCTCTCTCTCTCCGCCTCTCCTCCCGACCGCTGCAATGCCTCACAAACGACCCGGATAACCCGAGAGAGAGAGAGAGAGAGAGATCTATTCTATACGAAAGGCGCTACTCAAGGGCAACCGGTTGGATTAAATCCACCCAGATCTGCCTTCCCCTGTCACTCCCTTGGAAATCAGCCGCTCACGTTCACTATGCTCTGTGTAAATGGTCCCGTTAACCATCCATCTCTCTTCCGAGCCACAGTCTTCGCCCTCGGGCTCGACAACCGTGGCCGAATTTCCCACATTTCCGAGTCCCACGGTTTGATCTCGCGTCGTCGTCGTCGTCGAGCAGCGCACACCAACCTCACGCCTCGTTTACAATTCAGCTCTGGCCCACGTTCCTCTTTTCATGACCCAACTCTCACGCAAAAGTAAAAGCACGAGAGAATTCACGCTCCACCGTAGCGCGGCAACAATCGTGATAATCCTTGCACTTGAGTTGGACCCCCACCTCCACGTGCTAGAGTCGAATCTCCGGCGAAAACAGGCCGACACGGTGGTTAGGTTACAACGGCGGCATTTTTTTTTGGGGGGGGGGGGGGGGGTGAAAACAAGACGTGCGGCACTTACAATGGTGATTTCAAGGAAACGGCTTGTTTCGCAGCGCACAAGAATTGTGCCGGAACGGAGGAATACGGACATCCGCAGCCCAGAAGGAGGCCGTTCGGCCCCTTGAGTCCACGCTCGCTCAGAGCAAGGAGACGACCGCAGGCTCACGTTATCCCCATATCCACCCCGTCAAACCTCTCGCTCAAATCAGTCCGCGTCCCCCTCGAAAGCCGCAATGGATTCCGTCTCCACCATTCCCGTCAGCACGGTTTCCCACATCCCAACCAACCTCTTGGGTTAAAAAGAAAAAAATATATATCCTTCTCAGTTCTCCTTTCGCTGTTCTTGTGGCTTCCTTAGAACTCCGTCTCCGTCCCCGCTGACTACCACGTGTACCCCGTCAAAACCCCTCATGAAGTTGCACCGTATATTCTGTGAAGCGCTTCGAGACATCTGATCACGATAAGGCTATACATCAAACGCGAGTATCATTAGTGTTATTATTGTTGTTGTAATATCGTTCCCTGATGCGCGGTACCCACATACCGGACGCGCTACTCCAGTCACATTCTAACCAATCATTCATCACGAACTTAGCATTTTTCCTTTCGTCAGAAGATACTCGTTCGTACACTTTCCCCCTTTGCCGCCCACCCCTCGCTCGGCTGTTTGCAGACCACGCACCCGGCCGGGCAGCGAGAGGTGTTAGTGAAAGAACGCCCACGCAGAGCAAAGCGAGCGCACTTCATTTGCAGAAGTCACCGGTCACACGGGATTCGACGCACTCGGGACACGTTAAAAGGTTGTGAACTTCTACAAAGCGCAGTTTACCAATTTACCCTCCAGGTCGCTCACTTCATGGCAGTTTGCGGGACATTGCCGGGTGCACGTTGGCTGCTGCCTTCGCCTGCAAATTCACAGTCACTATACTTTACACTAAACTCCCACATTGATATCACAGGCGATGTATCAAAGGCAACAACTTGCATTTATATAGTGCCTTTCACATCAGGAAGATGCCTCAAAGCACTTCATAAAATGTAGTGTAGTGGCTGTATTTTGTACCAATTTGAGCACAACCACAATAATAATCTTTGCATTCGATATAGAGCCTCATCACATCTTCGAGACATCTCAAACCACTTCACCGAATATACTGTAAAGCGAATCGACTGTGTATCTCGTGGGCGAAACGCGCGGCAGCCGATTTTGCGCACAGCGGCGTCCCCCGCAAACAGCCGTGGATTGAGTGACCAAAATTTGGTCATTTGATTTCGTTTATCAATGCCCCACAAACAGCCGTAAAGCGAATGATCGATGTACCTACTCTGCGCAAAGCAGCAGTTAGCGTGAGGAGCAATGTCCAGGAGAGTTTGGCATTTTAAAGGCGACATTAGATGATTTTTTGAAGGCGGAAGGCAGAATTCAGAGAATACGGGAGATGGGGAGAGATGGAATCTCTACCAGATGGACTTTCCCATTGCTGCACGTTCCCCACGTGCGTTCCAGTTTAAGTGCCAACAGGAAAACAGGATCCCAATGTGCAGTCGCTGCTCTCTGGAACTGGAAGAACACATTCCATTAATTAGCTCAAATTCTTTCCGATGTTCAGTTGGATGAAGTGCGCAGATTTTTTTAGGTCTTATTCCCAATGGATTAGCCAATTCAACGTAGTGCTATATACCTCAGCGAAATGCACGAACCTGCCTTTACTCACATTTACCCACTGTACCATTAGCTCAGAGCTTAATAGCCTTCAACGTCAAGTCACCATAACTGCACTTGCATCAGTATCAGTTCATTTGATTTAGCGCCTTATCACGTCTTTGAGATGCCTCAAAAGCGCTTCACAGGATGTACTGTCAAGTGAATTGACTGTATATTTTGTGGGACGAAAAGCAGCAGCCATTTGCGCGCAGCAGCGTCCCCGCAAACAGTCGTGGATTGCAGTGACCAAATTATTATTTATTCATTTGTTCACTTTACAGTACATTCTGTGAAGCCCTTTGACGTGTCCTGAAGACGTGATAAGGCGTTAAATTAAACGCAAGGATTATTATTTATTTGGAAGGGATTATTAACCCCGGAAAAGCCATCCGCCAACAGACTAACAACTGGGTTTCCTACGTACTGCTAAGTAAACAGAGGCGTGTGGAGTAAGGAAACTTGCCAACATTTCACCTTGCCGGGAATCAAACGCAGGTCCTTTTGCTTACGAGGCAAGTGCTCTGACCACTAAGCTGCAGGACTCCGCATATCCCATACGTATGCGTCTCAGCGAAAGGCACGACCGAACCTGCCTTTAATCACATCTACCCACTGAGCATCGGCTCAGCCCTTAATAACCTTCCATGTTAAGTCACCACAGCTGCACTATCAGTATGAATCCTGCCTCGAGCCACCGGCACTGACCCTGGGCCGGCCCGGGGACACCCCAGGACGCTCGGCAACTGCTCCGAGTTGCAGCAATGCCCGAGCCTGGGCGTGAAAGAGTAAGAGCGCCGCACTGCTCGGGAAACGTACGCTTAGACCAAGCACAGCTTGTTGTTGACCGGTAGTTCTGGCAGCTGCTTTCGCTCCTGCAATGCACTGAGAAACTGACTCACAGCAGTGCTGAGCTCAGCCGCACTGACAATGCCCTCCAGAAATCTTCCGCGTACACGTGGGCACCAGCGGTTAAGCCGTGGAGTATCACAGCGCGGCAGCGGGCCGCTCGGCCCGTCCATCGTCATTTTCAACCCACGACTGTTTGTGGGACATTGCTGTGCGCAATTGGCTGCCGCGTTCGCCCACAAATACACAGTCAATTCACTTTACAGTGTGTTCTGTGAAGCGCTTTGGGACGTCCTCCCGACGTGAAAAGCGCTATATCAAATGCAAGGATTATTATTATTATTAGTATTATTATCTATCTGGGATTTCCATGAGCCAAGGCTTGGGGACCCCCGGAGCGTTGCGCTGGGAGTCCGTGAACAGTTAAATCCGCATAGTTTGCCATCGCTGCCGCTGTCCGGCAAGGACCGCTCCACCCGGCGGGGTTTGGCTCGCAGGGTTAACGGGAGGCGGAGTGGGAGGATTCCCTGTCCCGTCCACCCCCCCCCCCCCCACCCAGTGACTGGTCAAAAGGACGGGACGAGAGGGAACGGGTCCAGGGACGCAGAGGGTCAATTTAGCACCAAAGGAGAAGCATTTATTGCGATGGGAGCAATGAACAGCTGGAAAGAGGTTACTGGGAAGGTTTGTACGAGGCCAGGAAACGGGATTAATTAAGGAAGCAGCTTGATCCGATGGGAAGAAGATAGGGGGAGGAGGGACACGGGAAAGGGGGAAGGGGGGGAGAGAAGGAGAATTAAGTCAAGCGAGAGTCCGGTTCACTCGAACCTCACCTCACTTGCGATCTGAAGAGAGGGAACCGATACCGCACTGCGACCGGCGGGAAAAAAAAAAGGGGGAAGTTGGAGCCGCAAGTGACACCGCGAGAAAAATAGACGGGTTGTGAAATCGCGTCCGTGTGGTATTGCCTCGCGATGCTTCAGCCCAGGCGGCTGATTTACAGCCACACACACACGCACCACCCACCCACGGGCACACGCGCCCGCGCGCGCGGGCGAGCGCACTCCCAACAGTCTGCACCGCTCATCATAATAATAATAACATGCGACATCGTGCCGCAAAGCGGACCGACTGTGGGTGGGCGGAACGCGGCAGCAACGGCGGCGGCGGCGGCGACGTCCCGCAAAGCCGCCGCGAACGGCGCGACCGAGCGGTTATGTTTTTCTCGAGGGATTGTTACCCCCCACCCACACCGGAAAGCGAGCCGCCAAACGGAGGCGAGTGGAGCCAGGAAACCCGCCGAAGGTGTCCCCCCCCCCGCCCCCCACCCCGCCGCCCCCCTTTTTGTTTGTGGGACACTGCTGTGCGCAATTGGCTGCCGCGTTCGCCCACAAATATACAGTCAATTCACTTTACAGTGTGTTCTGTGAAGCGCTTTGGGACGTCCTCCCGACGTGAAAAGCGCTATATCAAATGCGAGGATTATTATTATTATTATTATTATTATTTACCCCTAGCCCGGGAATCGAACCCGGGTCCTCGCGCTTTACGAGGCGAGCGCTCCGACCGCCGCGCTACGGCGAGCGGCCGCTCTCCACCCGCTGGTTAAGTCCGCCGGCAATTACAGTCACCGCCCGCCTCCGCCATGGCCCGGGAAGCGCTCTAGAGACCACCCGCCCGCCCGCCCGGACCCCCCAAAGCTGACGATTATTCACGACGCTTATTTCTCCCGTCGACTTAAAAGACGATTCGGTTGCGTCGCGCGGCGATTTTTCCGGTCCTCCCTTTCCCCCCCTTTTTGACTGCGCCGTTTTGTCGTGGATTCTATTTCGCTTTCCCGCCGATGGTAACGCCGATCGTTTTCTGCCCTTTTTATTTTTTTTTCTGTGTGTGTGTGTGTGTGTGCGGCGTATTCATTACGAGTGAACGCCCCCCCCCCACCCCCACCCCCCGATCGAACGATAACCCGATCGAACTCTCCGGAGGAACAATAAGTGCGTCGTCTTAAGAGCTCCGACGCTCTGCGAACGATTGAAGATGGTGCGAAAAAAAAAATGTGGTTTTATAGAGGTGGGGGGGACGGGGGGGACGGGGGAGACGGGGGAGACGAGGGTACCCCCCCCCACCCCCCCCGGCTCCGTGCGCGTGTTCTCCGCCGCGGGCCGTATCCGCGCGAAGCTCCATGGCCGCGTGTCTATGCCATGTGCTCCGCGTCTGAGCCGCGCGCGTCTGCGCGCTGGGCTGTGCGTGTGTGTGTGTGTGTGTGTGTGTGTGCGTGTGTGTGCGCTGGGCTGTGTGCGTGTGTGTGCACGTGTGCTGGGCTGTGTGCGTGTGTGTGTGTGTGTGCGTGTGTGTGCGTGTGTGTGCATGTGTGTGCGCTGGGCTGTGTGCGTGTGTGTGCACGTGTGCTGGGCTGTGTGCGTGTGTGTGTGTGTGTGCGTGTGTGTGCGTGTGTGTGCGCTGGGCTGTGTGTGCGTGTGCGTGTGCTCGGTGCTCTGTGTCTGGGCTCTTCGCTGTGTCTGCGTGTCGGACCCCCGCCTGAGCTGCGGGTCTGTGCGGAGCTCTGTATCGTGTGCGGAGCTCTGTGTCGTGTGTGGAGCTCTGTGTCGTGTGCGGAGCTCTGTGTCGTGTGTGGAGCTCTGTGTCGTGTGCGGAGCTCTGTGTCGTGTGCGGAGCTCTGTGTCGTGTGCGGAGCTCTGTGTCGTGTGCGGAGCTCTGTGTCGTGTGCGGAGCTCCGGCAATGTGTGTGTGTGTCAGTGTGTGTGACGGTGTGTGTGTGAGGGTGTGTGTGTGTGTCTGTGTCAATGTGTCTGTGTTCTGTCAGTGTGTGTGTGACGGTGTGTGAGAGTGTCTGTGGGTGGTGTGTGTGACGGTGTGTGTGTGGGGGGGTGTGAGGATGTGTGTGTGTGTGTGTGACGGTGTGTGTGACGGTGTGTGTGTGTGACGGTGTGTGTGTCGTTGTGTGTGTGTGTGTGTCGGTGTTTGTGTGTGTGACGGTGTGTGTGTGTGTGTGACGGTGTGAGTGACGGTGTGTGTGTGTGACGGTGTGTGTGTGTGTGTGACGGTGTGTGTGTGTGTGTGACGGTGTGTGTGTCGTTGTGTGTGTGTGTGTGTCGGTGTGTGTGTGTCGTGTGTGTGTGTGTGTGACGGTGTGTGTGTGTGTGTGACGGTGTGTGTGACGGTGTGTGTGTGTGACGGTGTGTGTGTGTGTGTGTGACGGTGTGTGTGACGGTGTGTGTGTGTGACGGTGTGTGTGTGTGTGTGTGTGACGGTGTGTGTGACGGTGTGTGTGTGTGTGTGTGTGACAGTGTGTGTGACGGTGTGTGTGACTGTGTGTGTGAGTGTGTGTGACGGTGTGTGTGTGTGTGTGTGTGTGTGTGTGTGTGTGTGTGTGACGGTGTGTGTGTGTGTGTGTGTGTGTGTGACGGTGTGTGTGTGTGTGTGTGACGGTGTGTGTGTGTGTGACTGTGTGTGTGTGTGACGGTGTGTGTGACGGTGTGTGTGACTGTGTGTGTGTGTGTGTGACTGTGTGTGTGTGTGTGTGTGTGTGTGTGTGACGGTGTGTGTGTGACGGTGTGTGACGGTGTGTGTGTGTGTGTGTGACGGTGTGTGACGGTGTGTGTGTGTGTGTGACGGTGTGTGTGTGTGTGTGTGTGTGTGTGACGGTGTGTGTGTGTGTGTGTGTGTGTGTGACGGTGTGTGTGTGTGTGTGTGTGGTGTGACGGTGTGTGTGTGTGTGTGTGTGTGTGACGGTGTGTGTGTGTGTGTGTGTGTGACGGTGTGTGTGTGTGTGTGTGTGTGACGGTGTGTGTGTGTGTCGGTGTGTGTGACGGTGTGTGTGTGTGTGTGTGTGTGTGACGGTGTGTGTGTGTGTGTGTGACGGTGGGTGTGACGGTGTGTGTGTGTGTGTGTGTGACGGTGTGTGAGAGTGTCTGTGGGTGGTGTGTGTGACGGTGTGTGTGTGTGTGTGTGTGTGTGACGGTGTGGGTGTGTGTGTGTGTGTGTGACGGTGTGTGTGTGTGTGTGTGTGTGACGGTGTGTGTGTGTGTGTGTGTGTGACGGTGTGTGTGTGGTGTGTGTGTGTGACGGCTGTGTGTGTGTGTGTGTGTGTGACGGTGTGTGTGTGTGTGTGTGTGTGTGACCGGGTGTGTGTGTGTGTGTGTGTGTGTGTGTGTGTGACGGTGGTGGTGTGTGTGACGGTGTGTGTGTGTGTGTGTGTGTGTGACGGGTGTGTGTGTGTGTGTGACGGGTGTGTGTGTGACGGTGTGGTGTGTGACGGTGTGTGTGACGGTGTGTGTGAGGCCCTGAGGGCCTCTCTCTCTCTCTCTCTCTCTCTCACCTTTTCCTGCGCGCGGTTGATCTTCTTCTGCATGTTTTTGGCGATGAAACCCGCGCTCACCCCCTTCCCCGCCTCCGCCATCTTACCTCACCCCCACCCCCACCCCCTCACACACACCCTCACACACACCCTCACACACACCCTCACACACACCCCACCCCCCAACCCCTCACACACACCCTCACACACACCCCACCCCACCCCCTCACACACACCCTCACACACACCCCCACCCCCTCACACACACCCTCACACACACCCTCACACACACCCTCACACACACACCCACACACACACACACACCCTCACCCCCACCCCCACCCCCTCACACACACCCTCACACAGACCCTCACACACACCCTCACACACACACCCACACACACACACACACACACACCCTCACACACACTGACACACAGACCCACACACCCCCACACACAGACCCTCACACACACCCTCACACACACCCACACACACACCCTCACACACACCCTCACACACACACTGACACACAGACCCTCACACACACCCTCACACAGACCCACCCACACACACACACACAGACCCCCACACACACACTGACACCGACACACCCACACACCCCCTCACACACACACACCCACACACAGACCCTCACACAGACCGTCACACACTGACTGACGGAACCGACAACACTGACAGCGCCACCGAGACTGCGGCAGCCCGACTTAAAGGGGAGGTGCGCTTAAAGGGGAGGTGCGTTTAAAGGGGAGGGGTGTTTAAAGGGACCTGCTTAAAGGGGAGGTGTGTTTAAAGGGTCCTGCTTGAAGGGGAGGCGTATTTAAAGGGGAGGGGTATTTAAAAGCACCTGCTTAAAGGGGAGGTGCGTGTAAAGGGGCGGTGTATTTCAAGGGGAGGGGTGTTTAAAGGGACCTGCTTAAAGGGGAGGTGTGTTTAAAGGGGAGGGGTGTTTAAAAGGACCTGCTTAAAGGGGAGGTGCGTGTAAAGGGGCGGTGTATTTCAAGGGGAGGGGTGTTTAAAGGGACCTGCTTAAAGGGGAGGTGTGTTTAAAGGGGAGGGGTGTTTAAAGGGACCTGCTTAAAGGGGAAGGGCTCCAAGCAAAGCAAGTTTGCTTCCAAGAAAACGTGTATTTTTATATATAAAAAAAGTCTGCTTAAAGGGGAGGGGCGGTTATAAGGGGAGGCGGTGCTTCAGCTCGGTTTGCTTAAAGGGGGGGGCGGGGGGGGAAATAAATTAAAGGGGCGTGTTTGAAGGGGACGGGCGTTTCGCCCGCAACACACGCAGTCACTACACTTTTAACGGCGTATCCGGTGAAGCGCTTTGCGACGCGATGAGGCGCTGCATCGAATGCGAGGATTATTATTATTATTATTTCATTATTATTGTCTGCTTGAAGGGGGGAGGGCTTCAAGAGGGTTTGCTTCGAGGAAAACATATTCAAAGGGGGTTGGGCTTCAAAGTGGGGGGGAGGGGATAGTGTTTAAAGTGGGGGAGGGGGTGGGCTTTAAAGGAGAACCCTAATGAGGCGGTGCTTCGAGAGGGTTTGCTTAAAAGGAAATGCTTAAAGGGGAAGCGCTTCTTGACCACACTTTCGATCGTCTTTTCCCTGTCCCGTTCCCGCACCCCCCCACCACCACCTCCCAACCTCTTTAGCTCCCCGGCACCCCTTCACCCTGGAGAACGAGACGTTAACCCAAAGTGCAAAATGCCAACCGCCTGTTCGAGTGGATGTTACAGGTGCTATTCGAAAAGAGAAGGGAGTCTCTCTCTCTCTCTCTCTCTCAGTGTCCTGGTCGACAATCCCACCACCCCCTCTCCACCACCCACCCCAAATAAACGCGGTCGCTCATGGTTGTCCTGCAGCTCAGTGGTAAGAGCACTCGCCTCACAAGCGAGAGACCCGGGTTCGAGTCCCGGCAGTTCGAAACCTTGGGCAAGTCTCCTTACTCCACAAGCCTTCAAAAAATAACAATAAAATTGGTCACTTCAATCCACGGCTGTTTGTGGGGACGCTGCTGTGTGCAATTGGCTGTCGGTTTCGCCCACAAATATACAGTCACTTCACTTTACAGTATATTCTGTGAAGCGCTTTGAGACGTCGAGAAGACGTGAAAAAGCGCTATATCAAATACAAGGGTTATTATTTTCCAGCGCCTTGGGATGTCCTCCCGACGCGAAAGGCGCCGTACAAATGTAATTTTGTTGCTGTTGTTGTTGTTGTTTGTGGGGGACGCTGCTGTGCGCAGACTGGAGGCCGCGTTTCGCCCGCACAGCACACGGTCAATCCGCTTTACAGCGATATCCCGTGAGGCGCTTTGAGACGTCTCACAACGACGTGACAAGGTGCTGCGTCAAAGGCGAGGATTACTATTGCTATTAGGTGCTCAGTCGACGCTCTGAGACGTCCTCCCAAGGTGAAAGGCGCCGTATCGATGGGAATTATGCTCAGCTGGATGCCAGCCAAAGCTCCTCAACCCCATGCCCCTGCCCGATGTTTGGAAGAAATGAACTGCTTTCTCTGCTAATGCTTTCGAGCTGCCCGGTCAGCGAATACAGAGCATATCCATTGCAGGCGGAGGGACTCACATCAATCGATGCTGTCGGGTGATCAGCAACTCAACCGTGGCCTTCCAAAGGCGCAGGACAAGCAGCAACGTGCCCGGGTTTGACTTAATGGGCATACAAGCACTTCAATGACTGCAGCTGTTGCTCAGAGAATAGCCAACAGAGGCAGAGCTAACTCAAGCTAACTCGGTAAAGTCAGTGCACGTCAACCGCACGTCAACGCCGATAACAAAAACAACAACAATAATCCCAATTGGTCACTCAATCTACGACTGTTTGCGACTGTCCTCCCATCGCAACATCAAGCGGTTTCTTTTAACGAGTCCCAGCAAACCGGCCACAACCGCACTGCCTGGAAACCCCCGCTTTCCAGTCATTTAAAAAATATTTGGTTGCTCAGTTCCACGACTGCTTGTGGGGGACACTGTTGTTCGCAATTGGCTGCCGCAACACACACAGTCAATTCACTTTGCGGTTTATCCTGTGAAGCTCTTCGGGACGTCTCGACGACATGATGAGGTGCTATATCAAATGCAAGGATTATTATTATTATTATGAATTACCCTCTGAGTAAAGACTCCCTTCCCTTTTACCCACAGGGTCGCGGGATCCTTGATGTCTGCCTGGAGATACAAGCACAGACGGGGATCTCGGTTTAACGGCGGAGGAAGGCGCCTTCGACGATGCGACGCTCCCACCTTCAACTCCAGCGCCGTAAGAGAGAAAGAGGCAGCAACACCGGGTCCGATGGCCTCGTGAGGTTAAGGACACTTCCCGGGACCAGAACCTGGCGGAGCTGCTCGAGTTCACAAGGAAAACTCGAGAGAGCTCGTTTCCATTCTCGTCCGTGCGAAGCACAGCGTGAGCGTATTTTAGTTCCGCTGAGCACATGGTGCAACCCTACTCCCGCCACCCCCCCCCCCACCCCCCACCCACACTCACCACCCCCACTTCACAGCCGACTCATATCAGTATTTAAGTCTGGCTCGAGCGCAAACCACAGAGCAGTGCGTTCACTGCCCACTTCCTAAACACGGAATCAGGGATTCTTCCCACTCAGCTCCTGTTAACCCTACAAGCCAAAGCCCTGATGGGTTTAATAACAATAACAATAATAATAATGATAAGAATACTTGCATTTGATGCAGTGCCTTATCACTCGCAGCATTGTCCCGCAAACGGGTCGGGGATCGAGTAAGCAAATTATTGCTACTTTTTAAATTTATTTTTGAAGGGGCTATTAGCCCCGGAAAAGTGATCCACCAATCGACCAACCGCCGGGTTCCTGCTTACTGATGGTAAACAGAGGCGCATGCGTGGAGTAAGGAAACTTGCCTCAGGTTTCGCCGTACCCGGGAATCGAGTCCGTGTCCCCTCACTTGCGAGACGAGTGCTCTAACCACTAAGGTACAGGACTCCACTCTATTGGCTCGTCGCCTTTCGCCTCGGGAGGACGTACCAAAACTGTTCACGTGGTTTACTGGGAAATGAAGTGACTGTGTACCTGTAGGCAAACGCAGCAGCCCAATTGCGCACAGCAATGTCCCGCAAAGCCCTGAAACGAATGACCAATTGTTTTTAATATCGATTTGGGAGATTGTTGCCCCCGGGGACACCGGGGTGGGGGGGGAGGGGGTGGGGGGGGGGAGAGAGAAACACCCTTCTCTTTTCGAATAGCGCCGCGGGATTTTTAACGCCCACAACGGGACCTTGGCTTAAGGTCTCATCTGATGGACGCCACCTCCGACCACGCAACACTCCCTCCCCCCCACCCCCCCCTCCCCGGGCGCTGCATTGGAGCGTCAGCTCAAGACTGTGCGATTCCAAGTCCCAATGTCGTGCAGTTTATTGGACTACCACAAGGTAGAGCCACGTGTTCATAAAACCAAGACAGAAGTGGCCGGGAACGCTCAGCAGGTTGGGCAGCATCTATGGAGAGAGGAAAGTGAGTCAACGTTGGGAGGCAGAGACGTTTAAGGACTAACAGAGACGGGGGGGGGGGTGTCCCAGTGTCCTGGCCTCAACCACCTTCTAAAATTGCCCCCTTTGCAACTCTAAACCCGGACCCTCTCATTCGACTGTCTCGGCCCATACAAAAGTATTGCTCTGTGTTTTCATTTTCGATCCCGTTTACAATCGTAAATAAGGTCCCCTCTGAGACCGCGGGGGGGCTGCAAAGGAGCGGGAAAAAAAAAGAATAATTTGGTCACTCGAGTCACGGCTCTTTTGTGTCTGGGTTTCGCCCGCAAAGCACACAGTCACTCCACTTTGCAGTGCATCCTCCGAAGCTCTTTCAGACGCCTTGAAGATTTTGGCAATGGGCCCCCTATCAAATGCGAGGATTAATGTTGTTGTTATTAACTTCAGGACAGGTATCAGGAATTACTTAGGATCGAACGAGAGACCACCACAGAGGGTGGTCCATTCCGACGCTCTCACTGAGGCGTCAGGGCACCGTATCGAACGCTTAGAATCATACAGCACAGGTGGAAGCCATTCGGCCCATGGTGTCTGTGTCAGCTCTTTGAGAAGAGCGATCCCACTCGATCTCACTCCCCCCCCCCCCC